GTAAACGAATAAGTGGCCAACACTGTTAACGAATCAGTTTTGTGCAGGGCTGCTCATTTAAATGGAGATCCAACCACTCTTTTAAAAATGGTTCCCAAGGATTGTTTTGCTTGAAAGGTGCCAGCCCAAACGTGAACCACATTTTGGGCCTTGGGGATAGCGGTTTCTATTCTGTAGGGGGCATGATTCCTAATCACTCTATAGTGGATTATTTGTTAGAAGGCGGTGGGTATGAGGCTGTTAACGAATCAGTTTTGTGCAGGGCTGCTCCTTCAAAATGGAGATCCAGCCACTCTTCTAAAAATGGTTCCCAATTGTTTTTTTGCTTGAAAGGTGCCAGCCCAAACATGAACCACATTTTGGGCCTTGGAAATAGCGGTTTCTATTCTATAGGGGGCACCTAATCACTGGGACCCAGTTTTTCATTCTATAGTGGGTTATTTGCTAGAAGCGGTGGGTATGAGGCTGGGTGTTCATTTTAAAGGAGTGGAAGGGGAGGTGTCAGTGGGCAATAATATTGTAAATGCTGTATGATACTGTAAAGTATTGAAACATACTGTAAACAAATAAGTGGCCAAGACTGTTAACGAATCAGTTTTGTGCAGGGCTGCTCCTTCAAAATGGAGATCCAGCCACCCTTCTAAAAATGGTTCCCAATTGTTTTTTTGCTTGAAAGGTGCCAGCCCAAACATGAACCACATTTTGGGCCTTGGAAATAGCGGTTTCTATTCTATAGGGGGCACCTAATCACTGGGACCCAGTTTTTCATTCTATAGTGGAGTATTTGCTAGAAGCGGTGGGTATGAGGTTTTCATTTTAAAGGAGTGGAAGGGGAGGTGTCAGTGGGCAATAATATTGTAAATGCTGTATGATACTGTAAAGTATTGAAACATACTGTAAACAAATAAGTGGCCGACACTGTTAACGAATCATTTTTGTGCAGGGCTGCTCCTTTAAAATGGAAATCCAACCACTCCTCTAAAAATGGTTTCCAAGGATTTTTTTGCTTGAAAGGTGCCAGCACAAACGTGAACCACATTTTGGGCCTTGGAAATAGCGGTTTCTATTCTAGAGGGGGCATGTTTCCTAATCATAATCACTGGGACCCAGTTTTCCGTTCTATAGTCGATAATTTGTTCCAAACGGTGGGTATGAGGCTGGGCTTTCATTTTATACGAGTGGAAGGGGAGGTGTCAGTGGGCAATAATATTGTAAATGCTGTATGATACTGTAAAATATTGAAACATACTGCAAACGAATAAGTAATCAACACTGTTAACGAATCAGAATTTAGCAGGGCTGCTCCTATAAAATGGAAATCCAACACCACTTCCAAAAAATTGTCCCCAAGATTTCTTTTCCTGAAAGGTGCCAGCCCAGATCCAAATGTGAAACCACATTTTGGGCCTTGGAAATAGCGTTTTCTAGTCAGTAGGGCACTCGTGGATCATCTTTTGGAAGTAGTGGTCAGTGCCCGGCTGGGTTTTCATTTTATAGGAGGGGGAGGGGGGAGTGTCAGTGGGCAATGACAGTGCAAATTAAAGTGTGTAACAGAAAAAGTAATCATTACTGTTAACGAATCAGCTTTTAGCAGGGCTGCTCCTATAAAATGGAAATCCAGCGGGACTTCCAAAAAATTGTCCCCAAGGATGTTTCTTTTTTGAAAGGCACCAGCTCAGATGGCGCTCAGATCCAAATGTGAAACCACATGTTGGGCCTTGGAAATAGCGTTTTCTAGTCAGTAGGGCACTCGTGGATCATCTTTTGGAAGTAGTGGTCAGTGCCCGGCTGGGTTTTCATTTTATAGGAGGGGGAGGGGGGAGTGTCAGCGGGCAATGATAGTGCAAATTAAAGTGCGCAACAGAAAAAGTAATCATTACTGTTAACGAATCAGCTTTTAGCAGGGCTGCTCCTATAAAATGGAAATCCAGCGGGACTTCCAAAAAATTGTCCCCAAGGATGTTTCTTTTTTGAAAGGCACCAGCTCAGATGGCGCTCAGATCCAAATGTGAAACCACATGTTGGGCCTTGGAAATAGCGTTTTCTAGTCAGCAGGGCACTCGTGGATAATCTTTTGGAAGTAGTGGTCAGTGTCCGGCTGGGTTTTCATTTTATAGGAGGGGGAGGGGGGAGTGTCAGTGGGCAATGACAGTGCAAATTAAAGTGTGTAACAGAAAAGGTAATCATTACTGTTAACGAATCAGTTTTTAGCAGGGCTGCTCCTATAAAATGGAAATCCAACACCACTTCCAAAAAATTGTCCCCAGGAATGTTTCTTTTTTGAAAGGCACCAGCTCAGATCCAAACGTGAACCACATTTTGGGCCTTGGAAATAGTGTTTTCTATTCAGTAGGTTTTTTTCTTGACCACTAGGACCCAGTGTTTTATTCTATAGTGTGTATATTATGTGTTTATGTATTTCAGTATTTCTATAGTGGTTTGTCAGTGTCAGGCTTGGTTTTCATTTTATAAGAGTGGCAGGGGGCTTGTCAGTAGGCAAAATAATAGTGCGTATACATGCGTATAACTTTTTTAAATATATATATATAGATAGATAGATAGATAGATACATACATAGATTTATTTATATATATATATTGTAACATATCCACATCATTATATGAATGTTTCTGAGCCTGGCCATGCTGAGGCACGGCTCCTCTTGGATCAGTTCCTATAAAATGGTAATCCAACCCCCCCTCTGTAAAATAGTCACCAAGTATATTCTTTTGTGGAATGGTGCCAGCCCAGATCCAAAAAGTGAAACCAAACTTAAGGCATTGCAAACCCAGTTTTCTATTCTATAAGGTGTCTTTTTCCTAATCACTGTGACCCAATTTTTCATTCTATAGTGGATTATTTGTTCCAAGCGGTGGCCAGTATAAGGCTGGGTTTTCATTTTATAGGAGTGGCAGGGGGTTGTTAGCTTTCTTGGGTTTCTATTCTATAGGGAAAATCACCCCCCCTTAGTCCTGGGTTTTCGTTTTAGTCCCTATAGAATGGAACCCCAGGTTTGGTCCGAATTCCAACAGGGATATGTTTAACCATTCGCTCTTTGCCATGAGTCCGTGTTCCTAAAGCAACTAGGCCAACGAAAGGATTCTCAACAGGCCCTTCACCCTCAGGTTCAATCTCCGACACCAAGATAGGCTCGGGACCACCTGAAGCTTCCTCATTTTCGGATGTTTCATCCAGTACCCACCTGCCGTCAAGGGGCAAGAGGATTCTGGCCAAATTCTTCGCCCACTTCACCACATCCGGGTGGTCTTCCAAAAGCTGGTTTTAATAGCTGTCATCGAGGCCAGTGTTCTTCTCCCCGTGTCTCTTGTCGGTGAAGTCTCAGGATTCAATGGCCAGCAAATCAGTACTGACCATGGTCGTGCTAAGGCATCTTGTGTCATGCATGTCATGCATGCCACTTATGCTCATGCCACCTGATGTCATGTCATGTCATCCTAACAACTCATGGCAAGTCATGTCATTGTGTCAAACCGTGCCATGCCATGCCATGTCATCATGTCAAACCGTGCCATGTCATCATGTCAAACCATGCCATGTCATCATGATGTATGGCCATGCAATGCCAACACATGAATGCCAACACAACTTCATGCAATGTCATTTCAGGATACGATGAAGGAAGAGAGTGTCCGCATACACTTCCAGGATGACAAACTCTGCCTGGTCCGAAGCCTTTGGATGAGGTACAAGTGCTCTGCGGAAGCCTCACGAGCTCTAATGAAAATGACATGACCGTGTGTATTGGCCCCAAAGTCATGCACATGATTGCGGTGCCCAACCTAGATATCAGATCATCACACAGCATATCCTAGCACATGCAAAAACAAGCAACCATGGCACAACGCCACCCAAAAAGAAGTCATTCGCCCCCACCCCGTTTGGAAGTTGAGCACCAAGGCACCGTCAGTTGAGTCCCCCCTCAGAGACCATAGGCACTGTCACATCCCGTCAATACTTGCCGAACAACAGGCCATGCTACAGGTCATGTGACAGCTCATGTGACAGGTCATGTACAGGTCATGTGGCATGGTCATGTCAGGTCATGAGTCCATGGCAATTGCAAGTCAAGCTACTGTCCGTGAAATCCACGGTACTCAAACTTGCGACCACATGCTATGAGCTGGATAGTCCCATAGGTAGTCCCAGTGGAACCAGCCGCCATGGAAGATGTGAGAGAACTTTGCTCTTAGTCGACGTGCACGGCCAACAGTCAAAAAAAATGAACAGTGACAAATCAGTGACAAATTGGTGCGGGGATATATTGACTGAGAACTATTAGAATCAACACATCAACACAAGATGCCATGCAAGCCTGTTGGGCCTGTTGAGCGGAATGGCGTGTCGGGGTCGCAGCAGGATTACAGTACAACATGATTGCGGTGCCCACACGGCTTCTTCGACCAAGGTAAACAGGTCAGGAGCACTAATCCGGCCAAAGTTCAGCTGAAGTGTTTGGCTGCACGGCCCAGCTTTTGAACCACTGGACATGGCATGGCAACATAGATGCATGGTGACATGGCAATCCCCGACATGTATTCCATGCATGCCATGACATGGCAATCCCCGACATGTATTCCATGCGTGCCATGCCATGCCCTAACATGACAAGCCCCTGACATGTATTCCATGTCATGCCATGACATGACAAGCCCCCGACATGTTTTCCATACATGCCATGCCATGCCCTAACATGACAAGCCCCCGACATGTATTTCATGCATGCCATGTCATGCCATGACATGACAAGCCCCCGACATGTATTCCATGCGTGCCATGCCATGTAACATAACTGGACATGACAAACCATGTAGCCCATGAATGCCATACCATGAGAGACCCTCCAAAACCCCCCACCTCATGACATACCTTTCCAAACCACCCCCCCACCCAGCATCAAAAAAGTTTTGGCATCATTTTTTGCAGATTTCTTCATAATTATGAATTAAGCCTCGGGGCGGCCTCACACTCCCTCACAAGCCTCAATTCAATGCCTCACAAGCCTCAAATAGAGTCTCACTCTTTTGAAAAAAATGCTTGGCAAAACTTGAAAAAACACCAAGTTGCTTGAGCTTTACGGGCAGCTCTTGCTTGATCGAAGCTTCGCCTGCTTCACGGCATTCCTGCCACAAGGCACCTTTGACTTTGTCATGTTTCTGCTTTTTCTCTGGAGTCTCGAAGGTGCTGTCCATCATGCATTCAATCCAACTTCTCATTTGCTTCCTCTGATTGATTTGCTTGATATCAGAAAAGCTGGTGAGGGTCGGAAACCAACAAATTGCTTGGAAGACTGCCAAAGACATGTCGAGCCAATTGTCCAAGCTAAACTCCTCCTTCCTGGCTGTGTGGAAGTGGTCCAGCATCTTTCGAGTAAGGTCAGCACAAGCTTCGGTGAAGCTGTCTGCTTTCATGAGACGAGTGAACTTTTCAGGCTCTGCATTTGTGACAAAGGTGGATTCTGAATACATTGTAGGCACTGTTGCGATGGAATGGTTGATGGAATGGCCATCAAGTTTCAAGAAATCTCGTAAGGATTTCACATCATCATCTGAACTGAACACCTCCTTTAGCTCTTCAAACATCTTCTGGAAAGACTCCTTGTGATGCTGTCTGTCTTGAACAGCTTCTTGATTCATGATCCATTTGGTGTTGGGTTGTGGCACTTTGTGGATTTCAAGTTCCTTCCACGCGTGGACGCAGACTTGGATCAGCTTCTTCAACCTTACATGTCAACGATGAGGATCAAGCACGAAACACTTCAACCTACGAAGAATAATCAAGAGCTGAACAGCCAAACAACATTCCCTAGACTCCCAGGCTTGATTGGAAGCTGGAAGGATTTGGAAGGTACCAATATCAACTCAAGCAGCCAATATAAAACGCATGAAGCCAACTCAGCAATGTATATGCTATGCTATAAGTTAATTTAATGATTGAGTAATTAAAATATATTATTAAATGCAGCTTGGAAGCGGTTCGGTCATGTTACCCTTCACCGTGATGTCGATGTAATGGGACACTGCAAAAATGAAGAGCATCATGATGCGATCAAATTCTGGATCAGCCCGCTCCGCAGATTGCAGCCCTTCTGTGTCAAGGACCAAGACCAAAAAATTGTCCGTCACCTTAAAGCTTCCAAAGATTCCTCGAGTACAACGACCTGCGGAGACACCAAAACGGCTGCCGAATCGGTGGTTGCTCAGCGTGGATTTGCCAGAGCTTTGAGGGCCAACTGTACTACAAACTTGCAGTTGCTTCTCCCCCACACGCTCGTTCAAACACTTGAAGAGATCTGCAAGGAATTTGCGAGGAAAATGCATGTGCTCACCATCAAGCATCTCAAAAGGCATCCCCTTCCACACAAGCTTTTCATACGCTTCGACAACGCCATCCTTGTCTTTCAGCTCTTCGCTATGGGAATACAGCTGAATGACTTCTTTGTGCAGATAACTCATCGCAAGTTGCACATGCACATCTTGCTTCCCACGTTGCGCAAACTCTTCCGCCATAAATTTGTAGAGCCTCAATGACGGGATATGACTGGATCAACGAGAAATTGGTCTCAACATCTCAGCTCATTCTCAAACATGAACATATTGTCTGACTCATTGCAAAATGAGCGAGTTCTCAAACAACGTAGCGTTGTGTTGCTGCATTCCGGGAGCTTTGGCTGGGCTGTTATTTCAATCACGAATTCATTAAGAACAAATGCTGGTTGTGACACTCAGCCCCTGGCTGCTCAAGGTTGGCTTCACTATTCTCAGCAACCAGGATCTTCACAAAATCCTCAGCAGAATTTGCGGTCGGCAAACTCAGGCATTCTCACCGAGGCTCTGCATTCAAATCCTGTTTGCTGAGTTACAAGTTTTCAAACTTATTCAAACTTAGGATCTCCACCAAGTTCCCAACCTTATTGAAGCACCAATTTTGCAGGACCCCTAAATGTCCCCAGCGGGGACCAACCCCTGCCTCAGCGAGGTTGCTGGGCTTCACAGTCTTCTGTTTTTGCTGCAGTTCCTGTCCTTAGCTGCGGGGCCGTCTGAATGAGCACGCCACCGGTTGGATCTTTAGAATATCCTATGTCGCAATTCTCCTAGGCCCTAGGAAAACCAAGGCACCACCTGAGTTCAAGCGGTCGCACAGTCTCAGTTTGTTGCATCATTGGAGCAAAATCAATACTATTCATGAATAAGAAGCTTGGTTTCTCCCTCAAGATGTTCGACGTGGTTGAAAGCAACAAGTCATGCAAAAGAACGTATGGAGTTCTCAAGGGCGATTGCATAGCAAGGCATCTCAATATCCTCCATGTCAACTCCAACTTGCAGTTCCCTTCGTCGAGGAAGTGAAAGATGTTGAACTAATAACTAAGATCCAGACGTTTTTCTCTGAGGTCTTGAGCTTCATGGCGGTTGTCAGTCCTTTCGCTTGAAGTCAGGTCACGCTCCACTTGGCACAGCCTCAGGACCACCGCGGCTGGATCATCTTGCATGCAACTTGCGATGAAACGAGACATGCTGAAAGCATGTTTGCGAACCACTTGATTAAGGAGGCTACTCACGGTAGAGATGCATCATTGGAAATCTTCTGTTGAGCAGGCCATCGTCATGGCTACAAAAGCTGTCCGCGCAGGATGTGGCGATGCTTCGCAAACTTTCCCAAAGTGGTGGCTCCTCTGCATTCATCACCTTTCGTAGGTCGTTCACCCGAAGCATTGGCTTAGACCTTTGCCACTCACTTGGGACCATGATGGCTTCGAAAGAGAAGATTGAACATTCTTGTTCCAGTTGTGGCAGCTCTGCTGTAGTTCAAAGGGGCTCTGTTTGTGGACCAAAGGTTTTACATTCTGTTCGATTTGCAAAGACTCTCTTAGTAGGAATATGTATGAATATGTAGGAATCCATCCTGTTACAGCTCTTCTACTTATTGTCCAAGACTTGCAATTTGCAAATCCAACAAAATTGCCCCATTCAGCATCTGTCTCAACATGCCGCCAACATGCGGCCAGGCTTCTGTTTCAGATCGTCTTGATCAAGACGTTCCTTCAGCTCAGGATACAGCTGTTGCCGAATCTTGATGGAAGGAGGATCAGACGCAGTCACGTTTTTTGCTTCCGAAGCTGGGATGCGGAGAATGTGGACCTGGAGAGGGCCACAAAGTGGCAAAGGCTGTAGATAAACTATGTGGTGGCAAAGCTTGCAAAGGGACCAACATGTTCTTGGAACAATGCCCAGGGACTTTAGATTTTGGGCAAAGACCTGTCATTTAAAACGAAGTGTCCCCTGCCACCACTACGACAATAATTGCAACGTCAAAGCAACAACAACATAACCCAACCGATCCCAGACAATGTCACGGACAACCACGACGAGGCCAGGGAGCAGGATAGGAAGAGGACAACGACGACAAGCACCACCGCCACCACTGCCACAACAATGTATTTGCCACATCTTCGTTTTGTGAAAATTAGTATTCCCCTACCAAAAGAAAGTTTGTAATTATTGCGTGTTTTTCAAAAACTGGGCAAGACCTGCACACGGCCAATGGCCGAGCTTTGTCGAAGACCCCAAGTGTGCTCTTACCAGGAGCGGTTTGTCAGTTTTTAAGTTTTTGATTAGTATTTTTTCAACAAAATGTTGAACACGACCCAAATATTTGGATATGCCTTCACTTGGTAGGACCAAGTTATTGAGCGCTTTTTTTGTCGGCTGCACAACGTAACTTGAAAGTGTTGCTTGGCCAACTCGGTTACTGATTTCGCCGGAAGACTTTTTCTAGAAACCCAGGATTCACCAAAAAAAGCGTACGGTTTTCCACCTATATTACGTATTTATTTTGTCATTCTCCTATATAAGATATAGATAGATATAGGACAGGAATAAGACTATTTTTGTCTATTCTCATATTAGTTGGTCATGCCCCGCCTTTTCATCGTCGAAGCCTTGCTGGGGATCTTCGCGCACTTCCAAACAAACATCATCCCAGATCATGATAAACAAACATTTGCATTGGGTACCTGTGGATATGTCCTTCACAAATGACTGAACTTCACGCGATTTCAGATCTTTCTCCTTGATGTGAAGCAGCAGAAACTGACAGGATTTTGCCAGTTCCAGAGGCCATAATCCTTTCGGAGTGGTTGTGCCATGTACGTCAATGACTGCAAAGTGCCGGCGGCTCTCGGGTTTCATATCGGCATCAAATTGGATCTGGGCAAATGGATGCTGAGACTCTCCAAATCTTGACCCTTTGCGAGCGAAGTCGGTGTCAAAGATCTGGTTCAAATAATTGGAAACACCTTCCACATTGGAATTCAGCTTCAAGCTTACCAAGGCAGGAGCTGCCATCATGGTCCAAAGGAGTTCGTCCAAAAAACATTTTTGTGGCCATGCGGTTGCTAGTGGCACTGGCTGGTGTTTCACGAGTTCACGCATCAAATGCCTTTTTACATCCTTATCCGAGACGTGCCGCAGCCACAAGAACAAAGATGTGTCTGTCACCGTGTCACGCTCAGCGAGGGCCTGGAAGACTGGATGCCCCTGCAGCTTAGCCACAAAAGACTTCCAAGGGTGGCCCACTTTCGACATGTGGCACAAGCACACGGCCAGTTTCTCCCAAGATTTTCTGGAGCCATCGAAAGTCTTGTAAAGGTCATCTTGGTCGATCACTTCCAACTTGCGGTAGGAGTCCATGGTGATAGTGGGCGAACCATCAGGATGTTTCGGATATGGCTGGATCGCCATAGCGTAAGGCTTGACGTTTTGACTTGCCTTGGACCTTGAGAAGCGACCTGACTGCCAAAGCGTTCGCCGAAGTGTCACGACCAGCACTGCTGTTGTGACAGCCCCACAGCCACCGTACATCAAGAAGAGTCTGAAAAATGGCAGCATGGACAGAGCTTGGAGTTTGTACTTGTGATCCTGCCGCGAAAACTTGGGAAAGATCAGCTTCTTTGCCTTCTGTCAACTTCAGTGTCCAAAATGAGGGTAGATTGCCCAATCATCTACAAATAACTGCCTGCCTGCACAATAAACATGATGAAAATGAATGGTCAAGTTCAGGACGTAGTCAATTTGTGGACGTAAATTAATGGATTCTTGAGGGACTATCCCGGTATCCCTTCATTTTAGGACATAGATGACATAGTCCTGTGCCACCTGGACCAGTTTCTTCAGCAACAGGGCCATGTGGAGAGTCAGCTTCCCCTGTGATCAAAGCTGTGTCATGCCACCACCCGAGATGGACAAACGTCCGCTTTCAAGGGCGAATGAAAGTACTAAACTGCAAACCACAGAAGATTCACTCAACAATGAAGCGTGATACTCACTCAATCAAACGATTCACTCAGCAACGCGTTTGCTCATGTTTTGTTGTATGCGCCTGGAAGATTAAAAAAGGAACGAGAACGCTCACAGAGGCGAGGGAGCCAAGCACCTCACTGTCAAGTGCGAGTTGGAACGACACCCATGGTAAGGGTCATGCAATACCTACCACAATGACGAGGACGCTAAACCACTTCCGAAAAGGTAAGTGTGCTGTATCTGCCAGTGGCTCCGGGCTCCCCAATTGGGACATAGCAGCATGCAGAGAGCAATTTGTTGCGATGGTTTATTTGCCCAACATCTGAAGGGTTAACCCGGATCATTGTCTAACCTGGCCAATTCACATCATTCATTCCCTTCTTTTTCAAACGTTTGCCAAGCAGCAGTTCAAATTTGGCCATAGGGAATCTGTTTGTGGTTGTCAGAGAAAAGGCATGTCATGATTTCCCGTTGGGCTTCTCGTTACGAAGACTCACTGCAGCTTCCCAACAACTATGGATAGTATTGGATAATAGTTAAACTAATACTACTCACTTCTGACTTCTAACAATATTAACAATGATTGCAACGAGTATCAATATTGGTAGCAGTTTATAATAACAACTATCAAATATGCTGACTCTCGTGTGAATTCATCCAGGGCACTGCCCAGAATGCAAGACCTCGACGTGGAAACGTGGCCACGTTTTGAGAGGCCCGAGGGGTACGGCGTGGAAGAGCTGGGCGGCAAAGCACCGGGCCACGCTGTACCTAGAAGGCAGTCAGTGTCACTGGGTTATATCATCCATGAAATAGCCACTCTATAATAGGACATGATATTGTTGTGATGATAATGTGATGATCAATGATCAGCAATCAAATGAACCCAGATCCCAACTGTTAAACGGGCAGTCCCCAGGACGACACATCCGAACCATGCAGCCAAAGGGCCACAGCGGACCTGGGTTTCGCGCCAACAAAACTCACACCGTTGGAGGCCGGAGGCTGCTGCCAAAGAAGGAAGGCAAAGGACAACGCCATCACCAACCTGGCCAGGTGTTGATTTTGGATGTGGAGTAATCAAAAAAAAATGGGCTGTACCCAAAAAAATAATAGACATAAGTAAGAGAAGATGATGATCAACCATCTTTATTTTGGAGGCACTGCAACATTTTCAGACAAAACCGGTCTGAAACGAAACTCAGCTCATCTCAGGTCTGTAGCAAATAGCCACTGTCTGTAGCAAATAGCCACTGTCTGTAGCTAATTGTATATTAATTCCTCTGCCCGAACGACATGATGTTCAAAACATTTAAAAGCATATTTGCCCAGCGTGTTTTACCCCCCTCGGTCAAGGAGATTGGTGCATCAAAGTCAGGCGTTCAGAGAGCATCTTGAGATGGCAGTGGTAGCTCAATCCTCAACTCGACTGTCCAGCCAGGCAGCTTTGAGCGTGCTGCAAGAAATCAGCTTCGATCAAGGCGGTGGGTGTAGATGTTGTGAGTCGGGAGCCAAAACAGCCACTTGCAATGAGAAGGGATCATCCGACTGCCACAGGTACTGGAGATCATGTCAATACTGTAACATCAATCAATTATACATGCAATTATACAATTACATATACAATTATATATACAATTACATGTCCTTTCCATCAATGGGTCAATGGAATTGAGACTGCCCTCATTTCTTTCTTCTCCTTGAGGAGGGTGAAAATCTACCTCAAGACTGTAGATCCACAGCACCGAAAAGCAGCCCTGCTCATCCAGCAACGGCAGGATGGGCTGTAGTCAAAAAGGCGAATGTGGTGAGAACATGATGGACATCACAGGATCTTGACCTACCCCTACCAAATCCAGGCTGGGGAGTTGCAACAAGTTTGAAATGCACCAAAGTTTCTGCCCAATTGGACCAATGAACATAGCAATTTCAGCAATGTCTGGTTCCTTTTGAGCTCCACCTCCATCGTCGAAGCCGGTTTGCCAAATTTCCCGCATTTGAGCTGCATGAGGATTATTGTTTCTAAATTTGGCAACCCCATGCAACCCCAACATTATCCAAAATTTGTCATTTCCAATGATGATGAGGAAATCAATGGTGACAAGGAGTATCCCAGTGGGAAAACGACCATGTTCCCATCTTTTTGCCGCATTTTTTTTCCCAAGCAATTCACAACGCGTCAGCTTCTTTCAGGCGCTGCTGCAATTCACCGGATTGAGACATCCGGACAATGTCATCCTCAGTCCAAAGTGCGAAATATGTTGTAGTGACCCAAAAACATGAGTTAGAAAATGTGTATATAATTCACATATATTCACATGAATTTGCCACTACCTTGGGCAGGATATTGCCGTTCCATCTGTTTTGGGGGATTGCTTTGCTTTTTGCAGGGTTGGTTGCATCAGGCAAAAATGAAAATGCTATCCGACCAATCTTGGCAGTGAATGTCAGATCAAGACCCTCATCTGCAACCAGAGATAGTTTGCCTCTCTACCCTGGAAATGATTGCAACATATTGCAACACTTCCACTTCAAACTTAAGCAAACTGCAGGGCACAAAAGCGACATGCAGCAGAAGAACAACTAAGACTTGGTCGTAACCACCAACGAACTTGCCCGCGATGAACAAACGAGGGACAGTCCGGGCGCCAGTGATCTTTTCCATGTAGTCCATGATAGCTGCAGGGTCTTTCACCAATGGCCGCTTGTCCATATCTGCAAGCTCCAAAACTTCGAGGCCCGCAACTCCGACAGAACTCAAAATCGATTTGGCCCTTTGACAGAACGGGCAATACCTTGGATGGCCCGATGCCCCCCCCTAAAGGTCGTAAAGGTCTGGCCCGGTCTTCCTGATAGATTCCCCAAAAATGGTGGATGAACCAATGGGAGAATCCAAAAAAAAAGTAAGCTTCAGCCAATCCAAGGATACTCCTTGGAGAGCAGGAAGACTTTGCTACCTTTGATCTTCTCCTCCACTTCTTGAACTTCTGAGCCTTGTCCAATGGATAGTACTGGGGCCAACACGCCCCGTCTGCTGAGAAGGAATGCGCCAATGACGAGAAACAGCACATGGTGATAGGTACAGGCCCGCCTGGCAAGTCTTGAGTGGAAACTGGGAAACTTAGAGCAGGGAATCTGCACAAAGGATATCTGGGAATGGGGCCCTACAAGTCTTGTCTAAGTACAATCTAATGATTCATTTCTCAATGGCCATGTGGGGAGTTGCCGGTATCATCCGGTAACCCTGATCCCCCCATTTTTGGACGAGCCAATGTACCAAACAAAGGCACCCCACCTCCCCGTCCTCCCCACCTCCTTGCGAAAGGAACCTGGCCCCTACCCGCTGCAATTGCCATGGCTATCAGCAAATCAAGTTGGAAAGGAGAGCAGTGTCACTTTCAACAACAATAGATTGCATCGTTAAGTCTGGAGTCTGGATATCATGAGGTACTCAAGAGTATCTGTTTTGGCTTGATCGTATATAGTACACCTTCCACCGCTTGATGCTTGAAAATTAGCACATCCACATGCATCGAAACATGAAGTCAAGTTGGACCAGTGCGTGCAAGGAAGCTTCAGCCTCAAAGTTGTCGCAATTTTGCACATTCAGTTGGCCTTCCCACACTATCCTCTGTACTTTTTCCGCATTGCCTAAGGATCACATGTCCTAAGCTCTGAAAGCTCTAATCATCCTCTGTTGCCACTCGTTCTCATTACCAAACAAGGTGGACCAGCCTCAGCTGCATTGCGGAGCTTGTGAACTATGTGGTCGACAACTAGATAGCAGTGCTGAAGCAGAATTCCATATTTGTCCACCACATGGTGTGTTTGTGAATTTTGCAACACTCTTCTCCTGACCTTAAAGATCTTTTGATGGTTTCGGTATGTTTTAGGGGGATGGAGTGTGAATTCTGGAGGCCAGTCAGTCAGCTCTAGCAGGTGGCAGTGGCTAGCAGCTCTTTGTGTTGCTCTGATCACCAGAGACTTCTGCCTTCAGCATCTGCGCAGAACCAAGTGCTCAAATGGTGTGACCTCAGTATGAGTTGTGCATGCGAACCATCAAGCTGGAAGTTGGTTCACTCAAACACACGTATAATTCTTATGTATAGTCTGTTAAGGGTATAATTATATCCTGAATTATAATGGATTATATCAGTAAGATAGGTGGCTACAAGTAGATTTGATTTAAGGGACTTATGGATTGCCATATTACGCGGGGGGCACAGTTATCTTGGGCAGGTTATGGCAGCGGGCCGCTCCACTCGGGCCTTGGAAGCTCCAGTCATCACATTTGCTCTCCTCCAACATTTTCCAAAAGGTACTCTCCCACCTCAGAAACACCGACTCAGTCTGCAGATGTCTGCAGGTATTTCATTCCTGGGGAAATACTGTGAAACGTTCAACACGTACAATAGGCTTAGGATCAAACTCACCTGTCTCCTCATTCTTCTCCTTGATCCAGAGAGCAACCTCAAGCTTCCATTTGGCAAACTCAAAGCAATATCTGTTAGTCTATCAACTTTACATGACCCTGACCCTATCAGACTTTATATACTTTATCAACTTCCACAAGCCTTTCCACAATCTGTACCGAGCGTATGCAGAGGCCTGCATCATACGGCGGGGAATGTCCCAATCGCTCCACAATGACTCGACCTCAATACGGGTGGAGCTGGTGGAGTGATTGGCACATCATATCTTTGACTTTCTGCCTTTCATATCTTTCATGACTAGTTCATATTATCAATATATTATCTCACATCATTTCATATTTTATATCTGTCCATTTCTTCTTGCAATTCGAAGTCTGCGAAAAGAGCAATCCCAAGTTTCAATCATTTACAAGATACGAGTTTGTTCGTCAAAATGGAGACTCGGTCAGCTGAGTCTATCACTGTCTCATCATCATCCCTAGCAGCACAGATCCATTTACAGTATATCAACTCAACAGTGAGAACATATTCTGCCAGCCTTCCACAGGCATCTCATCGTTAAGGTTTGCATTTCTTCGACTTGGTCAATTTAAGCGGGAAACATTGCTGGCAAAATCTGTTGGATCAAGCGCCAATCCCCTGGCAATACTTAAATGCAATGACTCAATGACCCATATTTTGAACGATACGTCAGACATACCAAGGACGGGGGCTCTGAGTGACAATGCAAAGGCTAATAATTACTGCCCTAGGTCCCTTGTGCCCCACATGCAAACAGCCTTGGGCGGGAGGTCTTGTTGAAGAGAGGCCCCCATGCCTTACGTGACACATGGATACGCATGTGTCCTTGCGAACAATTCATTTCAGTTCAGCCACTCAACAGGATCACAATCTGTTGAGGACTGGCGCTGAGCACGCAGCATCTTTGTCTTTGCAAACGAGCTCAATTTGCTCCAAGGAATACCTGGTTCCATGACGTGTCATGTCAGTCTCCAGGACCTTAAAGTTGCAAAATGAAGATGATGAGGACATGCAAGGGTCACTCCGGCTTCCACTCCTGCACTTTTTGACGGATCTCACCCACTGTGGTCCTTGGTCAGTAGTTCTTGCGAACAACACAAGTGTGGCCAGTGTGGCTGAAAAAAATCAGGTGAACACCATCCCATCATTTTTAATCACTACCAGATACTACCACTAAGCATCTTCAGGTGATGTTTGAAATCTTCAAAATTCCCCAGGTGCCTTGAGACATACCAAGCCCATCCAAGCCGTTCCAGGTCCCTTTCTGAGAGGTGAACTCTGCAGTCACGGGCACGGCGAACATGCCTGTGGCGATTCGCATCAGCAGACTATGGACATCAGCTGGACCTATGTAACCACCAGGGTCCATGTCTCTGGCAACTCAACGACATTCAACGACATTCAACGACATTCAACGACTTTGGACAAAACATGATCTCCAGCCTAGAGTGGTCAAAACCTGCAAAGTCAGCGTGAAGTGTGCCGAAAAGCATCCAATGCTTCCTTTCTTCTGGACCAATGGATGACTCAATTGTTGCAAACATGGCAGCTGATGAGCTGATGGTTGCCCAAGTCAAAAGTAAACAACCTGTCAAGACTTGGGTGCCTTGACTTCAGGCACATGATCCTGATCGCGCTCAGCAATTTCAGCTGCACCTGGATCACATGTCAGCTTTCTACATTTGGACTTTACGGAAGAACAATTTTCTTACAGTCGCTGGGAGTATGTGCAAGGACCTGCACATCAGGACGTTCCAGAGTCTATCTATCAATACTTGCAAGAAGAGGATAATTATGTCTACAATTGTTCATTTAATTTGAGGTTGCAAAATCATGCCGACGTAGGCCGGGCCTTTCTTGATCAGACCACCCTTCTCATCCCAAATCTCTCTGTCCGGCCTAAACAAGTGAGGAAGCGAATGCTTCAAGCAACCTATGCCTTTCTGTTGAGAGCTGTATATCACGGCCAGTTGCGAAATGCAAATCAACTGGCTCAGACAGCAGCGCGGTGTTTTCGGTGAAAATGACTTCCTGCCTCAGCAGTGTAGCAGATTCATTAGTCGGTCCTAATAGCTTATTGACAAATTGACTATTGATATTTATTGATGTAAAATGATATTGTAATATAAATGGCCTACTTTGGTGAGGCAGTAGGCAAGTATCTTGCACTTGCGGTGAGTTCGTCACGATTTTTGTTTGAGTCCAAGTGTGGGGAATTTTCAGACTGGCTTTGGCGTTGTTGAAAGGATCTATCCTCGAGCTCAGCTGTTCCAATCTCAATGTCCACACACGATGGAACTTGCATCACCTCATTCTTTGTAGGCCATTTTACACCGTGCTTTTCCTGTGGTTCTGCTCGCTGCCGGTAGAATCCTCACCTGATTCACCTTGCCCCTTGCACAATTCGTGGTTGGATAAAATTTGCATGTGTTTGCCACCTCTCTATTGCTGGATTCCAGGCGAATTCTGAAACTCATGCTGCTAGAGTTTTGCCTTGTGTTAACCGTGACATGTTTCCTTTTGCCAGACCATTCACGATTCCATGTTGCGCCGGGGCCGAGACCCTTCCTCCTCAGCCATGGCGGCAAAATACCTCATGGAGCAGAAGATTTTCCATTAAAAATGCGGTCCGAATCAAACACCTGCAAAGGTGCTTACAGAATTCCATAGAATTAATATGAATGACAAATGAATGATACATGTATGATACATGTACTGGAATGGCATATCCAGTAATTGAATGATAGCTTTTTAAATGATATATATATATATATATCCAGAAATGATAGTACAAATGATGAATGATCTATATGTAGAATCTAGAATGCCGTTGCCGTTGCCACTTGCTACAATCTCAAGAACACATAAGTTGCTTGAAAAAATAGACATGATAGGCATTGCTGAACATCATTCATTCTTTCTGGACCCATGAATTGGTAATAAGGTTGATAGCAGTAGGGCATCCAGTGCCCTCGTTCCTTTGGGGCTCCCCACCTGAGGAATGCAGCACAAGAGAGGTGCAAACTGGGAAGACTTGAGCCACAGGTCATGCAAGCTGTCATGGTCACTGCTGCTTCCCTTTACAAGGTTTGCTTCCTGCACCGTTCTACCATTTAGATCCATTTACATCCGTTACATTAATCTACAGTTCACATTTTTTTACCATTTGCATCTGCTTCGAAGCATTCAATCTGAGAATTGAATTCCAACTTAGTGTGGTTTCTCAAAGTCTGTGAGCATTTGACCTGCTGTCCCTCTCTTCAAGCTTCATCCGACACTGACCAAGTGCTCCTTCTCTCATCTGGAACAGCTGTAAAATGCTGTAGCTGTGACTTTCTGCGAAGAGCAACTCAGGACCTCGAGCTACGACAGCTACGACACACCACCACGTCGCTGCAAGAATCACCCGACCTGGGGTGACCAGGTTGAAGCAGTCCAGTTGAAGCCAGCTCTTCCAGCTTCAAGCTTTGTTAACTTCGGCATTGTTTCTTAGAGTACTGCGATTTTCTCATTTTCCAAAGCAATCTCAGTTCCCAGTCGCTAATTTGAGAGCTGGACTAGAGTGTTTTCAAATGGTGTGACCTCAGCAGGCGAAAATTCTGGATCGGTGTCACTGACATCAGAATGGATATGATTTTTATGATTTGCATTGATTTGCAATGTTACTGTATAGGCTCTGCACCCTGGAAGCTCCAATCGTCACCTGAAGGCCAGGGGAGTGCCCCAATTTGGCCAATCTGAGGGGCTGGACTCAGAACCAGATCTGGGCTCCGAGCATTTGCTCTCCTCCAACATCTTCCAGAAGGTACTTTCCCACCTAAGGATCCAATGGTGGTGGTGTTTCAATTGGTCTTGGTATGTCTTGGTCATCGTCACCACCACCTCCACCACCATCATCACCACCATCATCACCACCATCATCATCACCACCACCATCACCACCACCACCACCATCATCATCATCATCATCACAGATTCGAGAAGCTCAATGGGAGGACAGCTCACACCGACAAACATGCTTTCTAAGGTTCGCACTCGCCTGTCTCCTCGTTCTTCTCTTTGATCCACAAAGCAACCTTCCAAAGATCGGCCAAGACGAGAAACTGTTGTCCTAAAAGCCTTCCAGCGTTCAGATTATTAAGAGCGGGCCTGCATCATGCGACGGGGAATGTCCCAATCACTCCACAAAGACTCGACCTCAAAGGGGAGTTGCAGTATATCCAGCCCCAGTCAGGAAATCTCATGGTGCAGACTCATGTCGATCTAAGCCTGTAACGGTTTCATCGTCATCCCTGGCAACACAAAAAAAAACATCGGATGGATGGAATGGCTTTGCCATTGGTGTCGTTGGTGACTCTGGATCCACCATGCAATGCCAGGATGTTCTGAATATTCTGCCTTGTCCCTGGAAATGGTGCATTGCAAATCTGCGCATTCTTTATGTTTCTTTGAAGTTTAAACTGAGCATGCCGACCCCTGTGGACTGAGATATTTCTTGATTTCATATGGCCTTTTCGAGATGTTGTAATCCTTTATGTACCATACGATCCTACCGCACCAGATATCACAGCCATCAAACTGTCAAAGCCAAAGGCCTTGGGCGGGAGGTCTTGTTGAAAAGAGGCCCCCATGCCTCAGTCGTCTGTGACTTTCGTGGTTCTCTCTCTACGCCAGCAGGTCCACGCAAACTTGCTGACTACACGTCATCATAAGTTTGTTGGGCATGAACCAATCGATGCTGAGCACACTACATCTTTGTCTTTGCAGACGAGCTCAATTTGCTCCAAGGAATACCTGGCTCCAGGATGATTTTTCAAAACGTGTCTCATAAAATAATTTCCTCGAAATTTTGATATAAGCGTCTCACAAAGGGATACAAAGGGTACTGTAGTATTCAGGGTCACTCTGGCTTCCACTCTTGCACTTTCTGACGGATCTCACCAACGGTTGTCCTCAGCAAAGAAAGGACTGACAAGTGGTACCAACTGCAGAGTCATCACTTGTGTCGGACTGGCAGTTGAATGCAGTTGAAACAGCTAAGACATCAACTCTGCGGTCACAGGCACGGCAAACATGCCTGCAGCCAAAAAAAAATGTTTTTTTGCTACAGAACATTCTCCGAACACTGGCATGACAGCGACTACACTGGCGCCGCACCTAGAGTGGTCAAAACCTGTCCAAATTGGTGGAGGGCAGTTGAGCCCAAGTCTACTCCGTTGGACAAGGCAGGTTACCAGCATTCTCCTCTATCCACTGACAGGGTTGCTCCCAACCCTGGCTCGATAAAGTTTCCCCTATTGGATGTACCTATGGGTTGGAGAAACCCTGACTGATGCAGCAGCTTCTCCACTTTACGCTCAACAATTGCCTTGACTTCTGGCACATGATCCTGATCGCGCTCAGCAATTTCAGCTGCACCTGGATCAAAGCCCAGCTTTCTACGCTACTTTGCAGTGAAAGAATTTATTACAAGTAAGCTGGAGAAAAAGTTGTGAAAATGTAAATGTATGTAAATGTGCTGTAAAAAGTGTGTCGTATTTTGTCGTTGTTTTATTGCAGCAAAGTCAGGACTCGATCGACACAACACTTTGGGGGTATTAACAATTTGTGGATTGCCGGGCCTTTCTTGATGAGACCACCCTTCTCATCCCAAATCTCTCTGTCCGGCCTAAAGCATTCAGACGCATTCAGATTTCAAGAAGTAGGCTTCAACATGTTGAAATGGAAAGTGGCTGAGCACGCGACGCGGTGTTCTCGGTGAAAATAACTTCCTGCCTTGGTCAGGGGTATACATCCTATAGCTCTCAGCATCCCTCGGCATAGTGAATTCTTCTCACAATTTCTCACAGAGCGCCCAAGCCAACGATAATACATTAATTAATGATAATACATGATAATACAGTTTTTTAAAGACATCATGTCCTCAAGTCTTTAGGCTAAATTCCCAGGAGGATATTAATGTATCAAAAATTGAACGAATAATCTCTCTTTTATGCGGCGGGAGTCACAGCAAAATGGGTAAGGAATCAAAGCAGTGAGATTGAGTTGAATTGCACGATTGGAAATGAAGGATCCTTTGCAATCTTCCCGTCTCTCCACAAACTTCCGGCTCTGCATCGCTTCTCTGCTCTCCAAATTTCTGTCCCCAACCCTGAGGTATCCAAGTATACTCATAGATCATTCGAAAACACGCTCAACACCGATGGTTGGAGAATCGGAGAAAAGCTGCCACCAATGTGCATAATCCGTATAATTAATCAAACTAAATGTAATTACAGTAATTAGAGAATTATAGTTCATAATGTCACATGTGACATGTGTGACGTGCCGCGGAGTTACGTGACATGGATCTTATCATTCAGCTTCTCTGAGACCAAAGCCCCTCCTCCTCAGCCATTGCGTCAGAAGGCCTTGGTACAAACTTGTTCTCTCAACCCTCACAAATATAGCCCCCCCGGAAAACAAGTTCAATGGCACTGGAGCGACCCTTTCCCCTCCAGAATTGGACGTCCTTTCCCATTCCTGGCTGGTCCTTCCATGCCCTTCCCACTGGGCACACTGACTGGAGAACTGGTTATTTTTGGCAGGTACGAACTAGGAAGACTTGAGCCGACCATTTCGCAGCGTACCGCTGTGATCCGTGTGATACAGACCTTTCTTCAACAAATCACATAAAACATCATAAAACAAGATCTCCGATGACAGCAGATTGACTGAACACGAGTTAACCCATACGGTCTGACTTTCTTGAACTGATTTGCTGCTCAGGGTTTCCGGCTAGGTCCAGCGCGGCCTTGTAACATTGCAAGTACAGTGAGGATAGTGAGGCAATGAGAAATGGAGCATCACTATATGGATGCAAATCCTTCGAAAAGTTACAAATACCACCCACATCATACAGGATGCGGCCCCCAATAAGATAGCGTTCAGTTGCCTTAGAAGTGGCTGAATTCTATGGTTTATGGTAGATATAACTATAGAAAACTATAGTATTCATGGATATTCATGGGGTTTATAAACCAACAAACATCACTCGGGGGGCACCATCCCGTAGGCAAATCTCTGCAGACGCACTGAGTGTGGCGGCGGAGGTATGCCCTGCATGTTTGACACCTTCAGGTCGAGGAAGCGCCTCATCGCAGCTTGGAAGTTGAACATAATGGGGTTATACTACTGTTGATGGAAGAAATCCTGCACCAGTTGATAGGTGGTTTATCCCATTATTTATAGGGTTTCAACCATCCAAGGTGGTGCAGGATTTCTTCCATCAACAGTAGGGGTTTGTCTCAAAGGGGGATACCCAAAATTATGGTTGCAAAAATGGCACTATATTTTCCCGCAAAATATGCTTGATCAATGAAGAATCCAAAAATACTATGGCACTATGGTTGCTCATCCTCATGATCATTTTCGCACCTCCTCTTCTCCGGGGATGTCTCAGTGAAGAAGAAAAACTCATCGGGACCTGAATCCACTCCAAACGTATTGCGACTCATTGGGAGAATATGGGAGAATCTTCTTATAGGTGAAATGGAAGATAATGGAATAAACATGAATAAACAAGATAGATTACTTGAACCATCTTGAACCTAGATCCAAATAGATCCACATAGATCCGAATGGTCTGTTGGATCTAAGCAAAGAAACTTGCAAGCGTGTGACAGTACCATTGTTGGTGTCAGTGCTTGTGTTGCGCCGCAACCATCCGAGTGCGGCAAGGTGCTGTATCTTCGGTCTGCTGGATGGCTTTCTGAGAGGTCTCGCCAAAGGCACAACTGATGCCTGGCGCATGGTACAGCGCTGGGAAAGGCTGATGGACTCCAGCGACTCTACTGGCCTAACACACCGTCCCGTGATGAGTTTTTTTTAGACCTGTCAAGCGACCTCAAGTTGTACTCGGAGAGAACTCTCTTCTTGTCCTTCGGCAAGCTTTCTCATGCACTCCACTAGTCATGGGTCATTAAATGTCCCCATTGAACATCACCCAACCATTAGGTATATGGTCTATAATGGCTATTAATAAGGTGATGTCCAATATACCCAAAATGGGACAGTTACCAACCCCTGCTAGTACCAATTCGTTTGTTGAAAAATGCAAACTTGATTCAAAGTACAGAGCAGTGCCGTCTCTTCGAAATTTGCACTGCAGCTCCTCGATACTGAGGAATTCCAATGGCTCTGGCTTTTCCAGAGCCTCAGTTGTGTTTGCTTCCGTCAAAGATCTGTGCACTTCCCCACTTGTACCATATATGCTTTGGAATTGGGCTACCTATAGATTCAAGGTTGGTCATCATGATTCCTGTACAGTGTCTATATGTTACATTTCTGGTAAACAGGTGCACAAATCCCTGTGAGGCCAACCTGCTTTCCGTTGCGCAGGACCACCAAGGCTCGATAGGCGTACCTGGGCATGGTGGATGGCATCCAATTTAGTTTGACCATGTTTTACAGGTGGATTTTGGGTGGCCCCATTTCTTGGACAATCCCATATAATATATGCCATCAACACAAGAAATCACAGGATTCCTGAGGACAAGGCCACCCACCCCAGACCTCAAGCATTGCTGAAAGTCCAGATGCTGGCACAACATGGAAACAACGTCAAGGTAAGGATTTTTTTTTACTTTAATTACATTACATTCTGTTCCAACAGGCCATTCAAATCTTCAGTCGTCGTGAGCTAAGTTGCCAGCGCGGTGAACATTGACGCCAAAAATCTTCCTCCAGTGTCAGATGGCTCAAATGACATGTGAAATATAGTGCCTCAAGGATGGTAGGTTGTTAGGCAACATGCAGGGATGTAGGAGTGATGTTTGATTTTGATATGGTTTAATATGGTTTAATGATTATTATCGATGTTTAATGTTGCAAAACATGCTGTCATCAACACAAACCCTGCGTTCCACTCCTGCGCATCGCAGATTCCGTCCCCCACATCTTTGGGTCACGTGTCTCCTGGAAGCCGTGTCGGAAGCATCAACTGAAGCTATGAGTAGGTAACGATGTAAGTGATTCATTCTCAATGGTTTTCTTACAAACCAGAATGGCAAGCCACTACACTGAATAAATAGTCAGAAACTAGGCCAGCAAGCCGCTAGGAATCTTTAGAACAGAGATGTGCTGCTGCTTTTTACATATTCCTGCTGGTTTTACCCATTTAGTTCGATGGTTTTCCCATTTCAATGGCCATTTATATTATATATATACAGTAATCGGAAATGTCCCAGCTTGCCACGTTTGCTGGTTTATGCAACTATTTGGTACGATGATTTTCCTATTTCAATGCCCATCTATATATTTTATATACTGTACTATTCTGCATATGTTTTGCTTGGATGACAAATGGCGTAACAATCATTCGTAATCTATAAAAGTATCACAATCATTAACAAACATTAATATGGGTTATCCTAAAATTACGGTTCATAAACTAATGGTATTATCAATCAGTTGTTACGATGATCCAAACTACATAATTATATATAATAATAATTATATTATATATATAACAATTATGATATATAATTCTGATTATATTATATATATAATTATGCATAATTACAATGATAATTATCAATCTGATATTTTCCCATTGGTTCATGGCTGGCCTCCAAACGATCTTCCAAGTCTTCGCGCCACTCAGCACTGCCTTCACCCTTCACATCCTGCATCGTCAGATCATGGGGCAGCCATTGGGATGAGACAATGCTATGGTACCATATTGCTGTAATTTCAATAAATAATATTGACTACTACAGACTACATAATATAGAATAATGATAACAGTACAAATAAGAATGATTATAATATATATATATGTGTGTTAATAGAGAATAATTATCATAGACAGCAATTGTGATAGTGTAACTGTTGGGCTTTCAACCTTGAACCGTGTAATGACAAAGAAGCACTAGAATATTGTACGTAATTTTATGTTGTTGAGAGTATCACCACAACATATTCACTCCCGTGACAGGCAACGCCTCCGCTTCAACGTGCTGGTCTTCTGCACAAACCGCACCAATTGTTTGCACATGGAAATAGGGCGGTCCTGCCAAACAAGCGAACTATAACTGTATCTAACTGTCCAATTTGATTGGGGCCCATCCCATTATCAAACACACCCACTTCAACAACAGAAACGTACCGCAAACGCAGAATTCGAAGCCAAGTCCTACGTCCGTGTTGATGACTTGTGCATCTAGAGAGCTTGGTAATTGATTGCCTCACCATCTGGGTATCCACTCAAGGACTGAATCGGAATGATCTCCATCATCCCAGAAAACGACCTTTATACGCTATTAGTAGCCCCTATACGCTATTAGTACACAGATGTACACAGTCTGGCTCCATTTTGGATTCTGGTTGTATAAACTATTCATTAAAAAAGGCTTTAAACATGGAAGTTTAATTATAAACAACCATTTAAAAAAAGCCTTTCCTGAGACCAGGACGGAGCTCACCGAGGATGGCGTTCGTTGCACCATCCACGATGTCCTGCCATGGCATGGACTGAGCGTGCTATGGAATGGCCATTGTGATGCCATCGGATAACATCGGATAGCTGTTGATGATTGAATGTATAGATTCAGAAAATGATTGGGTATGCCATGGTATGCCAGTATGCCAACTAAAATCAAGAACAATATTTCAATCAAAAACATCTGACATCCATATGGTGATGCAGAATCTCCCATTTTTACCATCTACGTCTTTTGCATTCCCAGAGTGCTTCCGATGCTGCCGGTCCCTCTCTGGCTTCTCACGAGCGTAGTGCTCGACGACCTTCAAATGTGCCCAACTTCGGGAGATGATCTCCAGCGCATGGGGTTCTTCAGCTTTACCCAGTCATTTCTGCAAGAAGTAGTCCCTTCCCCCTAATATTAAACACCCCTTAAACGAAACCATGGTAAACAGTAGGGAAATTCGACATTGTTTTGGGACCATTGATGGGGTGTTTAATATTAGGGTGATGGGATTAGTCAAAACATGTCAAAACTGAGGTGCCCACAACCTCCAAGAATTGTGGCACCTCTCTGGCGTCAAGAAAGTTTCATGTTGGAAAGTGTCTCTGTTGGGCCTCTGCAGCACTTTGCCCGGACGCAGTAAGTTGCACCAAGGCACCGAATAAATGGCAAACGCCACGGCATCATCAGGCCTTCGTCTGTGAAGAGATTACCATGGCAGCATCATGTCGGTATCATGTCGCAATGTCTCGAAGCAGCCCAGTCTCCCACCCTTCGATGCTCTGCGTTCCATCTGCAGTTTCAGCTCGAGCTTTGTTGTACCAGCCTGTTGCTTCCAAGATTCACAGCAAATATCGGCGTTGGTCACGTGGCTTTGGGTCAAAATTTGGTACCGCACATATCGGATGCCTCGATCATATACTTCATACATCTTCATACTAATTCTTGTCTGAACACAGCTAAAATCTGCGATCCACCGTTCCAGTCGCTGGGGCTGTAAAATTAGACCCATACCTATGAGTCCCAACCTACAAGCAGAGGATGGCTGCATTCCAAGCGCATTGGCGCTAGCCACGTGCTAAGAACCTGCCGATGGAGATCATCATGGGATCTGATGCAATTTCACAGAAGCTGAGCCTGCTGAAATTGCGTGGCATCAAAGGGGTCCTCACCACTGGAAACTGAAAGCCGAAGTTCGTTGACAAAGATGAACACATTTAACGCTTCAAGACATTTCAAAAGTAAAGCCAACGAGCAACAAATGTCCTGCAAAGCAGAGAAACTACTGGAAGTCGTCCCCATCGTGGCGAAGGATGGCAAAGGCCAAGAGACAGCAAGAGACTTTGATTTCCGATTGGTGCTGAACAGTGGCTGTTGTATTCTAAGTACCTGCGCTCCCTGCAAGCAAATGAGGGGTGCATCAAACTGAAGCATGGCCCTCTCACATCAAACAATTTTCAACATGACCCAAAGAACCCAAATTCAAATAATTCAAAACCAAACACAATGAAGCCAACTTTTGCGCTAGCCAGTCAGGCAGAGCCGTTGTTTGCTTAAATGCTCAGCAAATCCCACGTCCACCCTTCATTCTTGTTATTCCGAGCAAAAACTGCGCTCACATCTCTCACCCCAACCCTTGCGAATGAGTCTCTGAAAGTGCAACAACCTTGTCACTCAGTCACTCATTTAAATTCTGCTGCTAGTCGCTAGCCTCGCTAGCCGTTTAAGACCTTTTTCCTTTGGCTTTCGATTCTAGCCCTCAGTTGGCTGCAGAGTTAGAACTTCCAATGGACCAGGTTCAAGTCACCCGTCTATGGTAAGTGCTCTTCTGGCACGAAGGACCAACCAACAGTCGATCTCCTCTCAAATCGACTTCTGCCGAAGAAGATTCGCATGGCTTGCTGCGTCAAGGTCCTGCAGTTTCCAGGACATGCTGCGGCAAGGCTGTGCCAAAATTCCGCGGGAACAGAGCAGAACGATCGAAGCAGCAGAATGGCATAAAAGCACTCAAACAAACTCAAGCTCTGACTATAGGCTTATGTTGTCTGACATCTTTCCTTTCTGGCTACAACGTACAACATCACAGACCTCCCAATACAAAGTTGGATCAATGGACCGGGCACTGGGTGATTTTCTGCGAAAGGCTTGGAGCTCGGCAGCCTCAAAACCCGCTGGTTTGAACCAGCAGTGGGCGACCAACGTCTGTGCAGCGAGCAGCTTGCGTGAAGCGCTTCAATCCGCTGCGAGATACCACCAGACCGGTTTCTCAACAAAATCTTCAATGTTCAATTGCCTCTATAGTCAGACTGTACACACAGAAATGGCATGAAACGGATATGTCCCGATCATGTCCCGATCTACTTATCTACTTGTGGCTTTTGCTGTCCCATCCGGAGGCAGCTCAAACATGTTATTGGCAGAAATATGCAAATAGTATCATGATGATCATGGCTGGTGGCTTCTCACAAGAAGGAATTGGATGGAATTGGCCTCCTCTCCCAAGGAGGACAAGGAAAATGATTGGAAATGGTCACGGTGAGGCGATGACGCCTATTCCCCTTGACCAGTCGACTGAGTGGCAAAAAAGCAGGTTTTTAGATGTTCTGAGCTCGGTTTGGTCAAAAAGTCTCGGTGACCAACTCGGAGTCATATTCCATTGAATAGATGTGCTCTGAGGGATTTTGCAAAATCTCTCTGATTCTCGAAGACTCTGGGGCCATATCAATCGGTCGGAGACCCCGGTTGTTGGGGATGTCAGGGTCTGCCCGAGCACGGAGCAGAAACGTCAACATATGTTCGTTGCCAAAAATGGCTGACCAACCCAAAGGCGTTGTGCTCCCATCCCGCATCAGTCTCATCGCCAGACTTGGCTTGCCCCAATGGACTCGGCAGTAGGCCCTACTCATCAATTCAATGCTTCTCATAGCGCCCTCTGGATGCAGCACTTGGTTCACGTCTGCTCTGTTCTCCAGCAATAACTGCGCTGACTTCAAGTCGTTGCTGGGGTCAGCCCGCACGGTATTTTGTGTAAGGGGGTGCAACGGTGACATTGATGCAAAACCTCGAGAACCACCATGCACATTTGCTCGGAGATCGAGCAGTGCCTGCAAAACTTCGCATGGAGCATAGAGGGATGCGACACCTTGGAGGGGCAAAAATCGCGAGATGTGCCCGCCTGGGCAGTTGACATCTGCCTTGTACTGAACTAACAGCCTCACGGCTTCTGCAGAACGGCAGTAGGCCAGAGGAGGGGCTACATTCGAAGTGGTGTCATTGGGGTCAGCTCCGAGTTGTAACAGCGTCTCCAAAATCTCCAGGTTGTTGCTTTTGAACCACACGGCCAAGTGCAAGGGTGCACAGTCTGTAGCGTTGTTCACCTCTGGCAGCAACGGTGCACGGCTGTGCATGGAGGCCTTTTGACGAACGAGGCTGCGCACCAGTTCAGAATCTCCCGTCAAAGTGGCGCAGGCCACAGGACTGAGCGAACCACCTTGGGAAACTTTGGAAAATACAAACTCCTTCAGGAAGTCTTCGACACTGCGTGTCCGAGCAGCTTTTCCGGTCATGTCTTCAAATATGGAGAGGTACAAGCGGTAGCTGGTCAAATTTAGTGTCTTCTTCAGCTGGGATATATGGTGCCTGAAAGCCTTTTCAATGATTGAGCTACACGACTCTCTGTCCAGCTTCTCTGAGAACTCACCGGAGTATACTGGGTACCTATGCCATACAGGTGATGACAATTCTGCCAACAAAGGACCCTTGGCTACAACAATGGGCATCTTTGATGAGAGGAAATGGCACCAAAGTTCTGTACGACACCACCCCCTTCCCAGCCAACTGTAGATGTTGTTGTTGTTCCATGAGACGTCAACCTGCACGACAAAGTCGCAGTTAAGACGCCAACGACATCCAGCTAGTTCCGAATCTGCCAGGCCTCATTTCGAAAAACGAAGTGAGGTAAGCAAAGGTCCCACCATGCGCGTGTCACCACGCTTTGTCGCTGCACAGCAGTAGATGCCCACCGCAGAGCATCTTGTCGTTCCTGCGCCACTGTGTAGTATCCAGCCCCATGATCATGCGCCAGTTGTTTCGCTGTCGAATCGGCAGCTGCATTCATGGCCCTGCAGAGATCAGGGGAAGGATATCCTGCCGGGGGTGTCCATCCCGGGCGTTTGCCATGCGCTGGGATCCAAGCCAATCGCGAAGCTGGTCGCCAGCGTGCCAGTAGTTGATGCCAGAACTCCGAGGCATCGCCTGCCTTTCTCCCATAACGAAGGAGGCTGTCAAAGCGACGCGCCACCGCTTCGTTGTCCGTAAGGACCAAGACATCCAGAGCCGCAGCGGCTGCAGCCGCAGTGACATACCACAGGGCCATGCGCTCCGCGTAGTGGGGAGTATGGTCCGCACCAGTAAGAGCACCGCCAAAAGTGTGGCCATCCGCTGCAGCAGCAGCCCAAGCAGTGCAACATCCAAAAGTTTGACCTGTAGGGTCCAAGCAAGAGCCGTCCAACGCCATGCAGATGATAGAGGTCCCAGCAGCGCGTTGTCGTAGCAGATAATGTACCAGGTCGACTGGTGGATCAAGCACATCCAGGGTAGCGGGAAGGAAGGTCACCAGCCTTGTGAGCAAACGGCGCTCAGCATCAGTAGCCCGAGCCTGAGACCACGGGATCAGCGGACACTGGAAGGTGAGGTGTGTTCTGCTGGGGCAGGGGTTGCCGCAGGCGCAGGGTTTGTTGTGACCCAGGCGGGCGAGGAGGCGGGCATCAGCAGCGCAACCAAGCACAACCCGGCGGAGGTGAGGATCCAGGGTGGAGCGGAAGGGGCGGAGGTGCTCAGTCACCGGTTCCTGGGTGGGGCGGATGGGGTCAGCCGTTTTCGTGTCGTAGTCCCAGAGGAGGCGGAGCCAGGAGCGGGCAGCCAAGTGGCCCAGGAGGCGCTCGGTATCCCAAGCAGGGCGGATGGGACCATAGGGGGTGTCCCAGTGGGTGGGGTGGCGGGTCCAGCGGAAGAACTGGAAGGCGGCAGTCGCAGTAGGGCAAGGGGTCGACGAGCCAGCACGCCATTCGCGCCGCAGGGCTTCGAAGTGGATGAGGTACTCGGGATGCATGGTGTGGGGCCCAGCCAACTGTAGAAGTTGCATTCTGTTCCCTTGTCGCAGTGGGTGGATTGAGGCGTCAAGGCAACAAACATGTTGCACCGCTGAACATAGCCTGGAATGCTATAGACGTAAAGAGACTGTTCCTCTGCAAGTCCATGTCCACGTAGGTACCCATCCAATTTCTGAGGGACCGAGAAGTAGTCGAGCCAAATGTATGCACTTGCAATCCAGTTGAATTCTTTCTCACTCAATACGCCTTTCATAAATTGAGACGTACAATCTTCCCCGAGCTTGAGCTTCCGTGCAATCAGGTTGCTAAGAATGCCTTGAAGCACTTGCAGTTGCTCTCCATTCGGATCAGGATGTTTAAAGCCTAGCCACTGGTGGGAGACGAAGATCGCAAACATCTTGGGGCTCCACTTGACCAGAAGACGTTGAGACTTTAACACTTGATGTGGCAAGAGCCTCGGAGTCATCCGAAGCACATCCTCCACCTTCAAGAGCCACATGGGGGCCTCTACATCTTGCTGGTACTCAGAAAGCCCATCATCCGGGCGGCTTGAACAAGAGCCCATGGCCTTGGAGAGTTGCAAAAATCATCAAAAATCTACAACCTTTGCTGCTTCAGTGCCGTTGTTGGATGTTGTTGGTATATGTATATGTGATTATATGTGGGTTACAAGTTAGCAATAGTTAGCACACTTAGGTGGGTAAAAGTGACTTGGTTGCAAGTCAGAGAGTCCCGATGCTGAGGCAACTTGCGGAAACCGCAAGGTTTGATCACTTTCAGAAACATGTCCTGCCTTGAGACTCAAGATGCATCCAAGACACCCAACAGACCGGACCAAACCTACACAACCTGCTGGTATATGCTGGGATACGCCTTTTGGCAGCCCCTTGGGCAGAACCGAAACAAGCGAGTCAGCAGAGTCTGTCACCGTGATGAGGCCCTCTCACATCAAACAAGTTTCAGCATCACCCAAAGAACACGAATTCAAAACCAAACACAATCAAACCAACTTTGGTGCTAGCCAGTCAGGCAGAGCCGTTGTTTGCTTAAATGCTCAGCAAATCCCACGTCCACCCTTCATTCTTGTTATTCCGAGCAAAAACTGCGCTCACATCTCTCACCCCAACCCTTGCGAATGAGTCTCTGAAAGTGCAACAACCTTGTCACTCAGTCACTCATTTAAATTCTGCTGCTAGTCGCTAGCCTCGCTAGCCGTTTAAGACCTTTTCCTTCGGCTTCCGATTCTAGCCCTCAGTTGGCTGCAGAGTTAGAACTTCTAATGGACCAGGTTCAAGTCACCCGTCTATGGTAAGTGCTCTTCTGGCACACAGAAGGACCAACCAACAGTCGATCTCCTCTCAAATCGACTTCCGCCGAAGAAGATTCGCATGGCTTGCTGCGTCAAGGTCCTGCAGGATCTGAGGGAAAGGGCCCTGGTCTGAGAGTTTCTAGGACATAATGCGGCAAGGCTGTGACAATATTCCGCGGGAACAGCGCAGAACGATCAAAGAAGCAGAATGGCATAAAAGCACTCAAACAAATTCAAGCTCTGACTAGGTTTATCTTGTCTGTTATCTTTTGTTTCTGGCTACACCATCATACAACACCCTACAGCTGCTAGGCACCCACAAGCGACTTGAGGCCTCTTTGGAAGTTTGCGGAGTCAAGCCAGGTAGTTGGAAGCCTTTGCCTGGCCAACAGTTGGACGGCAAGGCAGAGACTGTTAATGGGAATATCACCCATGTCAATTATCTGGAATATATGTATAACGTATTGCAATCATTCACTAATCTGACATAAGGAATACATAAGGGAGTTTAGGGGAAGCGAGGTTGGGAATGATTCTGAATCATTCTCCTTCCTAATCATCATCTACCAGCCAGGCATCGTGATAGTTTCAACGTTTCAACATGTTTCAACCAGTTTTGCATCAGCACCTGGCTCATGCAGTGTACTAGGCATCCCATGCGATGCAGAACGGCCTGGCAGTCCAGGATGTTCCAGGTATGTGGAGATCATTGAACGACATGCATTAAATGACCGAGCCATCGGAAGTATCAATTGACAATATATGACAATATCATCTTCAATATTGATATAATATCTCAATAGTATAATATTATATAACTATTATCATCATCATCTATAATAAGCTTACCTATATTTTAATATTATCTTATTATATCTTATCCTTGTCGAAAACTTGAAGATCTTGAAAAATGCTAAATCTGCCAAATAGAATCAAATAGCATAGGTACAGTAAACAGATGTAAAAACAGTATGTCATGGCAAGGCACAAAGATACGTACGTGCCCGCGCGGGACTTGCCTCCAACTTCGTTGCCACTGGATGCAGGAACCTCAGGAAACAAGTGGAGGTTCAGGCATTGGGAACCTGGAACAAATCTGATCTTTCCTAGACTTTCAGCATGTGCACTCATGATTGTACTTTGATTTCAGCTTGGCACGAGTCTCTCCACACTGCTGGAACCTCCGGGAAGGCGTTTGGATGCGTTTGGCAGGGGAACATGAGGAAACAGTCATCTTGTGTCCCACTTGGAACCAATGAAATCACGACATGGCCGGAGATGGGAGGAGCTTTGTTCATTTTGAAGTCTGAGTCCCAAATTCCGCCATTTGATGGTCTATCATGGTCTATCAATTTCTATTCTATCAGGTTGGATTTGGATGGATTTGGGATCTCCCGTGTCAACGAGGTGTTATGATTTTTTGTGAGTGGCAGACTCAGGCACTCGGCAGCCTACTCCTTCTTTTGGGGAGGCTTCCTATTGCCTTCAGTTCCAATGTTGCGCCATGTCAATGCTTTCTGTGTCCCAATCCACAGCCATCCTGTTTATATAAAGCCCCTCCCCCTTACCGGTAGTAGACTTGATCAATTTCTTGTTTTGACCCAGCTCATCTACATCCCAGACTCCACTTTTTTCGGGTATCTCTGAGCTTCAATCCGAGCAATCCAAATCTGGGGTCTGAGCAACGCCAACTTAAAATCTCCTTCACCAAAGTCATCGGATTGGATGGATTGGGAGCTTGCAATGACTCTGCCTTTGGCCCAACCATTCCACTTGCCCCGTCTTCGTTCCGTGACAATGGCCGTATCTCCCTCATGAAGCTTGACAAGCTGACGAAATCGCTGATGACTTTGATCAGGAAGGAAATTATGCAGCACCAGCCATGAGCAAACAGCATCACTGGAAAGAAGTTTGGCCTGTTTATCCGACGCCGTATGAGCCAAAAATGTCACTTCTGAAAACTTGTCGTCATGCTCATCCACCACCTCCACCACCTGTTTCAGGCAAATAAAATCTTGAACTCTGCACGTTAGGAAATCGACTTTGTCTGGCTGCGGGCCAACTGGCACCAAACACTTCGTCCAGACTCCTTTGCCTTCAAACAGCATGGCTACAACCTCTTGCAGTGGCAGGGAGGAAGCCCAAAGACTGTCTCGACTGTCTGAGTTCTGTACTGCTTCCCGTCCAGACACGAAGTCTTCCCAGGGTGCCAAATCCTCCTGAAGCTCTGTTGGCCTGGGGCACCGTCCAGCCATCACTTCATGCAGGTCTTCCAAGCGCTGTCCAACTTCATGGCGCAGCAAATGCAGCAGGATCTGAAATTCCACTGCTTTGTCTGGAATGCCACGCAGAGGTGGTTCATCATGACGACTGTGATGCCTCCAAAAAGTGATGTTCCTGTCTTCACTGCGTGCGATGATTTCGCTGATCTGCACACTCTTCAGTGGAAATAGCCGTGTGGTAGCAGCGATGTGGTAGTCTTTGTCCACATCATAGCCGAGGACACAAGCAGTCTTTCCCGCAAAGGGGGCCAGAGAACCTTTTAACGAACTGTCGATTTGAACGATGCTGCCAGACAAATCTGCTTTCTCTTGCAGCCACAATTTGGTGGAGAGCAGTGGCGCCCACATGCCCCCATAGGTGACCAAGTGCAAGGTCACGCCGTTGTCCCCAAATCGAAGCGCCTTCTCGCAAAACTGCAGAAGCAAAATTTGCAGTCTTAAGAGCTTTGCAAAAAAGTAGAGGTCGACGGAGTCCAATGGCATCCGAACAACGAAAACGCCTTGAACAGGTTCCTCTAGTGTGTTTGCCCACCTATGTTGGTCGCTAAAGGACTGGCTGCAAAATGTCAAGCAATACAAGTACCAGTTCCAATGTTCCAAAACCCGATCCACTTTTCGATATTTGGTTTGATGAAAAAAAGAGAGCCGACACTTCAGCTTTTCCTCTGCGACAGATCTGCATTGTTCTTTTGACAGTGAGCCGTAAGCTTGGACCAGCAATCTTCGCATTTTTTTTTCCACATCTGTCACTTCACCAGACCCCTGGGACCCCTGCGCTTCTTGGAAAGCCATAGCCAAGCTCTGCCAGGAGCAGCCCGGAGGGCTGGTGTCTCTGACTTGTCGATGAAATGAGGCTGACGTCCATTCCTTAAGAATATCGAACAAGACTCGTCGACCTCCTCCATTTTTTTCAAGATTCTCCAGCTCCATTGGGCGACAGGCTCATTGAAAAACTCGAGCCAAACAGCTTTCCACAAACCTTCGGCATACCAGCCCTAACATCCCTAACCAGCATGAGTCTCAGTATCGGTTTCTGATTGGTTTTCTAAGGCGATTTCATATGTTTGATGAGTTTGATGTTTTTTTATGTTCTTCCTGCACAGCATCTACATCAAACCTGCTACCCGGTAGGTATCCCCTGGTAGCTGGCAATGAAGTACTGTGCCACAGCTATAGTCCCAGGAGTTTGAAGTCTGGAAGACAAAACCTGCAGCCGAAATCCCGTGGGAGCTCTGAGCGTTTCTATCCAAAAGTATCCAAAAGTCAAAATATATCAAAATATGTTTCAACCTGTTGTACTCATCTTGCACAGTTAGTAGCTTGCCCAACAATATCTTGGAACTTTGATGGGTAAAATCACCATTGGAAACAACATATGGGTTGGAGAACAAAAATCGATTCCCACTGCACTTTCTGGCCTGACATGAAGGAACCAGCTGCTCCGGTGAATGGCAAGTTCCTGACTCAGGACTCGTTCTTGTCAGCTCCATCATTGCTCCCATAGTTCCCAAATAATCCAAATAACAAGGAAAATAAGGAAAATCCATGATGAAAAACTCGAAATAGCTGGTGCATGGTGGTCCTGTTGACCTTCTCAAAGTGTGATACAACCTGGGCAATTCAGGGCTTCCAAAATTGGGAGGACTGTCGGACCGCTGTCGCAAAAAATGGGTCGGGACTTTGAGGATGCTACATCTCGAACGCTCCGACGCCTTCGCGCATCAATGTCCTGGCAGAAATCACCTGAATTGAAAAGAACTCAAAACCGAAGCACAAAGCTTTTTGTGCCTCTTCTTCAGCTGGTCCAACTTCTTTGTGATGGACTGCGTCCTGGTATGTTGCTTTCAAGCTGCAAAACTATGTGGCAGGTGTCTCCTCAAAAAATATTCGACATTTTAATAGCAGAACTCACCAGGTCGGCATGACTTTGAGTTCACTGATCTCACTGTCAAATTGGTGCTAGTATGTCGTTGAAATTATATAGATTTAATGTGATTTAATATGATTTTACGTATATGGATTGGTACGTTTCAAGAAAATCATTGGTGAAATCATGTAAAAATCATGTAAACAGTTGCTGGATACAGGATCTGCGCGAAACACAAGGCCAACACGTTCACCCTGCATAAAGCACTGCCGAAATGCCGCGTCCTCGTGCAGTTGCATGACTCTTGCCCTTGCAGGCGTCACTTCGGAAATGCTTGCCTTGTGGCCACACTTGGCCAGGTCCATGTTCCAGTTGGAGTGACAATTGGAATGATTGAAATGGACCGGAGTTAAAGGAATCGAAGGACATCTCAAATGAAAACTGGTGGGTTCAACCTCCCCTGGACAACACGAGCACTTTGGATTACTTTGAATTATCATTCCAAAAAAAGGCTGAACAACCCTACAATGATTGAACCCCCTAGAAACTGCCAGATCTCAGGATCACACAGTGAAGAGTGCTTCGGGAGCTGATGCAAACACATTGCTTCCTCTCTGGTGCTCGTGAGCACTGCGCTTCACCTGCGCTGAAAGCCACGGAGATTCATTCTGGTCATTGGAAGACACCACCCAGAATGGCCAAGAGGCAGCTTGCTGTTGCTGGGAGCAACAAGTCTAGACTGCTGCAAGGCAACAGCTCTTTCTCTCACACCAGCTGCCATTTTTTGCACCGCGCACAAAGTCTAACCTCTTCCCCAGAACGGAATGGTTTGTAAATTCTCTGGTGGAATATGCCAGACCATCCGGATAAAGCAGGAGAGTTTGTTAATGAATTCATTCAGCTGTCAGTATCTTGAAGTACCTTTTCCTCAAGCTCCTCAACACAGGACATGAATCTGACGCATGGATGTCCTCACTTTGGGACCTGTTCTACCATTCTCTCTCTAGGGCGCCTGAGCGCCGGACAAATTTTTTGGTCGGTGATGGAGGTCTCAAATCCAAATGCTTCCAGATGGTCTCTTTCCCAAGTGGGGTATTCCAAACTCCCTCGTCCAGGACGGGCTCTGTCCGCATCCTTGCCCTTGGCGCAATTTGGCAATGGAATTTTCGTAGTGCAGTGACACATGTTATAGGTATACCATGGTATACCGGTATACCTCTTACAGTATGTAATCACCAGGACCATAACTATATATTATATAACTATGTGGATATGGGGCCCCTACAACTATGGTTATGTTGATGTTCTATGTATATCTTGGCAATGGCCAAAGATGCAACAAGCTGGACTCAATGCTGAGTTGTCGACTCATCTCCAATGACAAGCTCTGTGTCGTGATATTGTTGTAAACTTGGACGGTGACTCACCTGTAGCAAAAACGTGTAAAAACGGCACCAAGAAACGGTTCCACAGAATGCGTTGCACAGCAGTAATCGGAAAAACATGGCACTCATGCGTCATGCATGCAGCGCTTGCATCTGCTTGCAAGAAAGACGTTGGGATCGAGTTGCGGATGCCACCGCCAGCCTTGCTTGGCAATTGTGGAATGTGGGCAGAAATGATGCATCAACATCATCAACACTACCTGACGATTGGAGGCAAAAGCTGACGGTAAAGCCCAGGAGCAATGTACCGCGCTGCAATTCTTTTCGCAATTCCTGATGACAGGTTTGCAAATCATTTTTGTTCAATCAGCTGATGCTAAGAACGGCAATGGAAATGGATTGTGATAGTTCCCAAAATATTGGATAGTATAACATATAGTATAACCCCATACATATAATCATCAACCAGCATGGGTTTAGCCACTGCACTGTGGATCTGTTGCGACCAGGTCACTCCATAGAGTGCAGCCTCTACGCTCATCTCCACGGCGCTGGTGCCCTCATCCTTAAAGGCAGCAGTTGTCCGAAATTTTTCGTACACCATCCTGTCATCATGACTTGTATGACTTGAAAGTAAAAGAAACTCATGGCCCATCCCTACAATGTATAGATGATATATTGTACATGTATACTCACTTATCTGACTTTATCGTGGCACACGTCACGACACAGTCAGCAAACAGTCAGAGAAAGTCAAGAACCTGTCTTGCAGTTCTTTCACTCTCTCAAGGATTTCTCAATGGTTTTCCATGTTTTTGGGGGGATCGCACATTGAATCCACTCTGAGGCGGAAACCACGACTGTGATGACTCCGGTGTTTGGAAGCTCACCTCAAGTGGAGCCAGCAGCAGACTGCCAGGAGAGTCGTTGGGAATTGTTATCTCAAAGAATTTGGGCAGGATTCACTGCTTCCGTGACACCTCCATGATTTACTGGTATCTACTGTATCAACATTTGGGGGGTTCATATATGATCAGTTATCCCATGTAGATATACTGATGGGATAATGATCATATAAGATCATATAAGATCATAGATAACCCCCTATATGATCATTATCCCATTATAACCATATAGATATACTCATATATATCATGGGCTATCCCCAGTCACCATAGCTTTCCATACTCCTCCAAGGACTTGGATGGGGCTACTGCAGCAAGGATGCCGCAGAGAGCCGAGGCTTGTTGCAAGTCTCCCAAGCCTTTGCGCCGTCGCAGAGGACTCTTGTTTGTAGGGAAAGGGCAACAAGTTGTATAATCATAGTAATAATCATAGTAATAATCATAGTAATAATCATAGTAATAATCATAGTAATGATCATAGTAATGATCATAGTAATAATCATAATAAATCATCGCACTGAAGAATGGTTGGTAACAATAATCATACTGATAACTATATATCATCTGACGTTTATGTTTTTTTATTGTGATGATAGCTATTGATATCATGATATATTGGTATGTGCCATATGTTATGCCTGTGTGTTTTTTTATCAATTGTGTTTGACCACCCAATTCTGGTAGTATTTTTTTGAGCTATGGCCATGACGATCATCTCAGATTAAACATTCAGTGGCTCATCATCATTTGAATACTTCCCAATTTTCATCGGTTCATCCGCCACAATTTGTGGTGCTAAAACGTTGAGATAATCCCATGCTGCCCAAGGTTCTTAGTCCAGCCTGACGCGATAAGCGACCCAGCCTCAGAACTCAGCACAAACTTAGTTGGATCTTAGTTGGGTGCTCCATGTTTTAAAGCAGATTCATACTTGGATGGTTAATTAATCTTAGCTAATCTTAAACTCGGTTCAAGTAAATTGATGGAGGTGCCGTTGTTGGGTCCAAATTTACCAGCGGCTGGTTTGAGTCCTTCCCCGGGTAAGTTCCCATTTTGAGTCCTCACTTTCCATCCAGTGCAATCATCACAGTGCAACCAAGCGACTCGGGCACGAGCTCCTTTTGACCCGCCTTCCACAGCTCGTTGCCCAGGCTGCGTCCGAAACGTGGCGTGGGATGATGGCCGGGACCTGCCGAAGGTCGCAAACCACAACTGGGATGGAGCTGTTTAATAACCCATGGAAAAAAAACGAAAACATCAATCGAACACCTACTCCTACCCTGAATCTGATTCCCGTAAAACAACAATTCCAAACTCAGATTTGCAGTCCTGTTGGTCTATGCTTGATAAGCATGGTTACGACAGATGTAACAATCGCGTAAACTCCAGCTACGTGTGGTTTGTTGACCGGAAACGCACATGTTATTTGTCCTATATACTTATCACACGTGTCAGCAAGGAAACAAACCGCACCTGTCAGGCGCTGAAAAAAAAAAATACGCCAAAGTCTACCAGCATCTGCCACTGCTTAGCATACACTCCGGGAGGGTTAGCATACACTCTGGCAGGGTTAGCATACACTCCGGGAGGGTTAGCATACACTCCGGGAGGGTTAGCATACAATCGGGAAGGGTAAGCATACACTCTGGCAGGGTTAGCATACACTCTGGCAGGGTTAGCATACACTCCGGGAGGGTTAGCATACATTCAGGCAGGGTTAGCATACACTCCGGGAGGGTTAGCATACACTCTGGCAGGGTTAGCATACATTCAGGCAGGGTTAGCATACACTCTGGCAGGGTTAGCATACATTCAGGCAGGGTTAGCATACACTCGGGAAGGGTAAGCATACACTCTGGCAGGGTTAGCATACACTCCGGGAGGGTTAGCATACACTCGGGAAGGGTAAGCATACACTCTGGTAGGGTTAGCATACACTCCGGGAGGGTTAGCATACACTCTGGCAGGGTTAGCATACATTCAGGCAGGGTTAGCATACACTCTGCAAGGGTAAGCATACACTCTGGCAGGGTTAGCATACATTCAGGCAGGGTTAGCATACACTCGGGAAGGGTAAGCATACACTCTGGCAGGGTTAGCCAGCCGCTGCATGCCTGAAGATACTAGGGGCCAAAATGATTCAAAATGTACCAGTCACAGGCACCGCACAAAAAAACAAAAGAAAAATATTTTTTTGGCACTTTTACCTATCTATGACACTTGCATGCTATTGTCGCAAACGTATCCCTGTGTTTGTCATGTTTCTACATATTCTGTCAATGTTCTCAATATCTTGCCAAGGTTCCTGAAATCATTCCATGGTTATATACTGAACCTTCGGATTTTCACATTCTCACTAGCCCAAAAATCATTGTGTCCAGTGGGCACCTGCGTTAAGAAATCATTAAGTCACATTCTCACTAGCCCAAAGATCATTGTGTCCAGTTGGCATGTGCCCGAAGTAGAGAGGTAGTCATTATGTCTAGTTGGCATGTACCTGAAGTAGAGAAGTTTAAGTCCAGTCGGCATGTGCCAGAAGCAGTCCTTAAGTATAAGTTGATTGTGTCCAGTTGGCATGTACCTGAAGTAGTCCATAAGTAGAAATTCATTGTGTGCAGTTGGCATGTGCCTGAAGTAGTCCTTAAGTAGAAGTTCAGCGTGTCCAGTTGGCATGCTTCTGCAGTAGAGAAGAAGCTCAGAAGATCACTATGTCTAGTTGGCATGTGCTTGAAGTAGAGAAGTAGATCAAATGATCGTTAAGTCTAGTGGGAGTAGAGAAGACTGGAGCAGAGTAGAGTGGGAGTAAAATAGAGTCGAGTGATACTAGAGGTCCAGGTAGAGTAGAGGTACAGTAGAGGTAGAATAAATCAGACTAGAGTAGAATAGAGTAGAGTAGTGTAGAGTAGACTAGACTAGAGCAGAGTAGAGCAGCGTAGAGCAGAGTAAAGTGAAGAGGAGAAAGGTGGTGCTTTTGCGTCACGTGTTGCGATTCTTATTGTCTTTTGCAAGTCACTGTTGGCAGATTGCATTGTTACATCAATTTGAATGTTAGGATTTGCAATGCAAGAAACATTGTGCTTTTTCGGGTAAACAGACGTTCGGTTGCGGAGAGTTGTTGGCTCGCTTGCGCGACGGGTGCAGGCTCCCTCGGGTGCGGGCTCCCTCGGTATCTCGAACTGCGCTGGCAATGGAACTGAGGCTTCCAGCTAGGTTTGCAGATCGCAGTGGAGTGGCTGCGGCAAGGTATGTATCAAGGTACTTGTTCTTGACTAATGTGTTGCGATTGCATCGTGTTTTGCAACTCTCACTGTTGGCAGATCGCAGTGGAACTGCTACATCCAAGATGTGATTTGAATGCTAGGATTTGCACTAAACATAGTGATTTTTTGGGTGAAGGAGATTCCGTTGCGGAGAAAAGTTGGCTCGATAGTGTTTTTGTGCCTTTTGTGCAACATGCTGCATGCTGAAAACTGCGCAAATACCAATGTTTTGCTAGGTGCTGTCCACAAAACACTGTAAGTACCCTGATGTTTGCTACCAGAAGCAAAAAACATCGTAAAAACATGTAAAAACCGTGGTTTTGGACTTCCAAGGCGCAAAAATATGCAAAAATATCGGTATTTACGGTGTTGTTTGCTCCGAGCCTCTCGAAAAAAACGTGAAACCCCACCTATTTGACGATTTTTGGCTGCCTCCTAAATGAATGAGAAAAAGATGTGTAGTCAGATGGTTGCAAGATGCAAATCACACTACCACCACCACCACCACCACCACCACAACAACAACAACAAGAGCAGAGCAAGCGGGTGACATTCTGTGCAACACCAACCCTTGGGGCATCGCTAGTGTGCGAAGCAAGCATTTATAAAACCTCCAAGGCCTGCACCTCCAAGGCCTGCCATTCGGCTCAGGGCTGTGGTGCTCTGCGCCTTGTGTGTTTCCAGGGAGATGTTCCTGGGCCGGTGATGGCTCCATTCTTTGGCGGCTGATATAACCATGGATCAGAAAAACTGAAATGCCCTGGTTCATTATCACACCAAAATGGCTGCTACTTTTTCTACCCATTCCCATGGCCCAATATAGCATTTTCACTAAACAGGTGCAACCTTTGCTTTCGTGAAGGTTGCTGCATCTGGCAAGTTCAGTGAAAACAGCCGTTTTGACCTTGCCATGATGCTGATGCGGTCTGCGTCGTTCTTCACAGCGCGAGCGCAGTGCCTTAGCAGAAGGAAATAAACATTGTCAATCGAATCATGTTCAAATGCTTAAATTTCAACGGATGGAAGGCTGCAACAAGATATAACAAGATGACACGGGTATGCACGGGTACTGTCAAGTACTCCTTGGTACACCATCTGATGTCCCAGCCGCCAACATCATGAACAGCCGCGCAAAGGCCAAGCGCTGCCGCTCACCGGCAGATAACGTGGCGGTCCAGTCCCGCACTTCCTGGTGGTGCCGCGAAAAACAGATCATGTCAGACCACTCGGTCTGAAAATGGGCAGTATACCCCCAATTATGGCCACTTAATAGAGCCAAAGATGACAAAGCGACGGATTTCGGGCTACCCAATTTTCAGACAAACCATGACAAACCATCTGAAGAGTCTTGGAGTGGCTTCGGATGTCCTGCAAGCCCCACTTTCGTAGAATTGGGCCCATCATGGCTCGCCTTGGCTTGGGCCATGCACAGTACTTGTATGCGTGGATTCACCATCAAGTCTGAACAGGTCGATTTGAGTTTGTCCGAAAATGGGTTTCCCATGGTTTCCCCAACACTCCCTAACATCCAGGTGGATCCTCATTTTTCATAATTTTCCCATATTTTCCATATCATTCGATAGCCATAAGATCGGGGGGTATACACCATGCACCAAGCCATGGCATGCAGGTCAGGTGGCTTCAGAGCAAGCGTGGCTTGCACCTGCAAACCACACTTCTCAGCACCATTCGAGTCGTCAATGTGCGCAGGGTAGATGACAGCCTGATGCAGATGGATGGGAGCTTTCGCAATGGTTCTCCACCCAAAATTGGGAGGATTTGGGGGGATTTACACCCAATCTGTACTGATTCGTGGCCGTTAAGAAGGATAAGAAGGGAAATTAGATGGTGAATTCAGCAACTACGATTGGGGATGCGCCACAAGAAGTGGATACTTCCAAAATTGCCATTTTAAGAGAAAATTAATAATCCAGTGAAATTCCGGGGTATGAGTTCCAGCCTCCAGTAAGGTCCCCACGGGGAAGTAGGAGTTCCTTTCAGAGCTGTGGGGATGTCGCGAAGTTTGGCTGACTATCATTTAGCCTAGCTACCAAATGAAAACCATCACCAGATAATACAGTACATAAATACAGTACAGTACAAACATGTACAAACTACATCAAAATATCATCAAAATACGTGTGAACGAAGTTTGAACGAAGTGTGACCAAAATCTCCAGCTGTGGTTTCCCAGATTTAGGCACTGAAAAAAACATGTGTTTGTTCTTGGTGGGGATAAACACAAACTGATTAGGCACTGATTGCATACTGAGGCTCTGCGGTAGGAAAACCACTTCTGCACCAGGAGACTTTGCCACACTTCCCTTAGCACGGAGATGTCAAGACTAGTGTAGAGCCATCAATCTGTGCAGCGTCTAAAAATGGGGTATTATACCTCCAAGTTTGACAGGGCAAGTATATATAATATTATATAATGATAAACCGATAAACCATGATAAACCACCGAATGTTTGGGTATCAAATATTCAGGCAACCCAATATGGCTTTATGATGCTTTACGTGTTTTTGGAAGCCATCAAAGAGTTGCGACAAGCATGACTTTCAGTCAAAGTGGCTTCGCCCGTCAACCAAAGCCCAGCCATAGCGCGCAGAATGGATGACTTTCCAATACCTGCATGGGGCGTTCTACTTCAGATTTATGACGGATCATTCGATCAAAAATCCCAGATGCAGAAAATCGAATAAATCCCAGGCCTGAGTTGCCAGTGATCAACACGCCTCACAAGTCATGGCTGACAGGTTTTGCGAAGCAAGGGATTCTCAGCTGCCCCGCTGCCGACCTTGTCCAGTGGCGCATGACAGAGTCACCTCAATTTCTTGCAGCTTCAAAATCTTGAAACTGCCATCAGCTGGCAAAATCGAGCAGCTCAAGAGCTGCCATGAAACATCAAAAGAATTGCCAAGAAACGTCATTTAAAACAAGTATGAGCAGTATACAGATGTATACAGTACAGTCGGCTCGTGATCTCACTTTCAATCTAAGGATTGCAGCAAATCTGCCAACCCTTATCAAACGATCATTCAATGTCCACTGTACACAAGCTATCTTCTACTCATTTCCCCGAAGCACTTTGGTACACATGGCTTGGAATCCTCAGTAAAAGCTGCCAAGGCGCTCCCGCCACAGGTGTCTTGCCACCAGGTGCATAGACCACCAGTGAATCAAAGCCAAAGGCTTCCGACACCTCCTTGGTTCGGCCGTGTCAGATGGGTTAAGAAAGATGGGCCAAAAGACTGCCGCAGATAGCAGATGTCTTTTGGGGGGAGTAAATCTTAGGACTACCAACAACTTAGGGCAAAATGATGATAAGTGTCAAATAGACACAGGGGATCATCAAGTTTTGACTGTCAATGGGCTGCACAGGAGTTGATTGGGATAGTAAAGCCTCGTTTACAAGTGCCCATCACTGCAAAATGCACAAAACAACATGACAACAGCAACATCATAGCATTTCTTTAACTGCTGGCACTCACACTTTGCATGGATACGAGAAAATATGATGGGTTCCTAAAATGGGGGTACCCCAAATATCCCCAAATCATCCATTTTAGTAGGATTTCCTTATAAACCATCCAGTGGGGTAGCCCATGGTAGCCCCATTTAAGGAAACCCCCATGAATGTCGCCATGACCTTGGCCTTGGCAAAGCCAAGCCGCGCTGGCAACGAAACGAATGGTGGCATCCACTGGGGGAGCCGCATTGGCCTTACGGTGGGCCCGCGAAATCCCCAGTTGAGGGATGTGGTATTATTATCCCATGATTTACAGGGTTTCAACCATCCGTTTGGTGATGCAGGATTTCGCTGGCCCATCCACAGATTATGTCTTTAACTTTCACATATTTGAACCATTGGATAGCCATGGATAGCCGAAAAAAATCCAGCTTCTGTCTTACTTTGATCTGCCTTGCCTCATCTGAAGCTTCCCAAAGCTGCCACAATCGCTCGCCATTGGCTTGCCTTAGTTGGTGTTTCTGACGCGGCACTTGTGGTCATGGTACTCTCAGGATTCACCTACCCAAAATGCCAAGGTACAGCTGCTTCAATTTGGAGAAAGAGTTGGCAAAAAAGTCCATCACCTCCAAATCTTCAAATTCCAAAATGGGTATGGGTCAATACCTATAGATACCATTTTTAGTGGGTTATTCACATCCATAAATCCCAGCTATTTTGGGGTTCACCAGGGGTACCAGGGTTTTGACCCATCCCCAAATCACTTCGATTCTTCATAGTTCTTCAAGTTCGTAGCTGAAGTCGTGTCTCCATTGGCTGGGAATTGCTGCCGATTGCCAGCCTTGGCCACTTGCATGTATCCTGTCTGGCACCGCACAGCATCCCCAAAATTCAGCGCACCTGGCACTGGAATTCAGCTGACACTGCTGTTTAACGTAAGAAACCTGCAACATCCTGCAACATCCTGCAAGCTGCAAGCAGTGGTGCCCTGCCTGCCAGAATCTGAGGGCTCTGATATAACCACAGGATCACCTCAAGTGGCCCGCCATGAGTCATCCATTGGGGACACCATGGGGACACCATGTGGCCCGGCCATCCCTCAGCTGCCAGCAATGGGGAAGAAGTCGATGATGCCCAAGGTGGTGGTGAACAGCATGTTCACCAAGGCCTTAAGGTGTCCACATCGTCCGCTGGAGCTATCTGGAGCTGGCGGCTGCCAAGGTGCGTTGTATCGAATGGCCTCAGTGGATAGCGAGGCTATGCGAGGCTTGAGATGTTTCAAAGTGCTGTCAGAAGCACTTGAAACTGTCGAAGTGAAGAAAATCAGAGAAGATAAGTACATTATTGAAAGATATTGAAAGAGTATTATGCATTGAATAACACTGAACACTCTGTGAATGCGGCATCGATGTGAGAGTTGAAGAGATTTCGCGAACGGCTCTCCTCAACCTGGTCGCCATGCGCAAGGGCGACAGGTTCCGCATTTTCACCTGGTGAGTCACCAGGAAGCGATGAGATGTGATGGGTACCCTCTGGTAAACTAACATAACTATGGAAAGATCCACCATTTTTAATAGGTAAACCATCTATAAATGGGCCATTTTCCATGGCTATGTTAAATAACCAGAGGGTAGCTGCATTGATTTTTTCAGACTGCGCTGGTTGAAAGTCTGTACCAGGCATTGGATCTGTGTATGCTTTATAATTTTGGTGCAGGCATCTTGTAAGTCCAAGACGTATGCGCGTGAGAGAATATCGAAAGGTTGCTCCTCCAAAGCTGAGAACTGTCTTTGCCGTTGAGTTTGGTGCAAAACTGCATGGTTGGAGGAAGTCCAGCCTGTTTCAAGCATATCCTTGAAAGCATCCACAAGCGCATTTCCAAACATGCCTCAATCGTTACCAAGTCAAATCTAGAAGTTATACAGCAGCAATGCTCGGACCGGCACTAATCGATAAGAGGAGACGAAGGAAGGCCATCCCAATGCACGTCACGACAAGCATTGGACCTCCTAGCTGTATCATGACCTCCAGCTCTCGGTTGATTGTGATCATGATACATCATTCGATATATTCCAACTCAATCTGCAGAACTTTGGTTCGGTTGTCGGTTGACTCTCTCTCAAAACCCAAATAGTGTCAGGATGTCTCAGGATGTGTCAGGAGTCTATGATACATCTGATACTGATTTAAGGCACGAACTCCTGCCCAAGCGACCATTCCAAACCTTAGCTCTTTCGTGTTCCACGCTGATCATGCTGGCATTATCTGGCATCCACAAACATGAGCCACAGCTCCAATTTCAAATAAGCAGCACAGCAGATAGGAATCCTGAGAAAAGGATGTACATCATGTTGGAAAACCTCAGGTAGCACTTAGAGTGGCACAGCTTGGCACTTAGAGTGACAATGCAATGCACTAATCCTGTTTTTCTGCAGGCAAGTTGCTGCTCAGCGGAGTCACTAATGCGCTGGTCGGGATTGTCAATGTCCCGCTTCTGGAGCCAAGGTGTGTGAGACATCGCATGACTGACATATCCCATGAACATCCTGAAGAGTCTCAACTTCTCACAATTAATTTATCAGCAAAACATTCCAACCTCATCATCCATCTTGAGTTTGTAGTAAGCTTGCCCTCCTCCTGAACAATTGCAGGCAAAGCAAACCATTTGCAAGAATCAAACACACAGCTGAATATAGTAGGTTCTGCCGTTCTGCCGTGCATTCTGTTGCCCAGCCTGCAATATATGAGGATACCATGCAGTTTGTGATGTAACCTTGGCGTAGTGAAAGTCATGAGGCCGTCCAAACCAACATCTTTGCTGCATGTCGCATCACCACAAACCTGGAGGCTCTGTCTAAGACCCCTCCAAGTTACTTTGCATCGAGGAGGAAAACCACCTCGGCTCCGAACCAAACATGTCGTGTAGACACGAGCGTTTCATGCCCGCTGCGAATACCATTGGACATCATTGGACCATGGGCCAAGCCACGCTTGAAGCATCGGATCCTCAGTCATCGGATCCGCCATCCCTGGATGTTGATAGGAACATCTTCAGAAAACATCGGTTTAAAATTTTTAACAGCCAAATATGTCCAAATCATATGCAAATATCTTCAAATTTCATCATATAGCCAAAGAATCTCAAAACATATCCAAATATTGGCTTTCCTTAGATGTTTCCTGTAGATGTTTCCTCTTGACCCATTGCATCATTGATGATTTCCAACCCAGGCACGATAATCAGAAACAGCGGAGCTGTTGCTATTTGCCAAGCCAGCATGGAAAATAAGCGACTGTAGACTAGAGATAAATCCTTGGCGCGGGTTTAAAACGTCCCAAATTTTGGCCATGAAGATGTTTGGTATTCATGTTATACTAGCCACTTTGACAGCGATTATCACTATTTAGGGCAGTACCACCCGGTTTATCAACATTGATACAATAATATACAATATAAAACATGTGATTAATCCGAGCTTGAACATTGCCAACGATATCGGCAATGTCATGAGGGTGCCGAGAAAATAAACATGTCACACAAGAATCCAAGACACCTTTGAAATTGGAAGTGCAACCACTGCATTCGTCAAGTTGGCTGTCAGCGACGAGAGAAAATTTGCAAAAAGCCATTCTCTTGCAAACCAATGTGCTATTGTCAGGAGGCAAAGACCTCTTGATATCCATCTGTATGAAGGATTGGTGAGCCAACCCTGAGAAATGAAGTACACGCTCTGGACGCCCGAAAGATCTCGCAGAAGGGCCGTAAATGCAGAGTACTTGTCTTCTGATCGTTTTCCTTGTAAACGCAGAGTCTCTGAGATGCGAGTGTGGCGGGCGATGCATTGCATCACGAACGCAAAGGTCAGATTTAGCGCAATCAGAAGAGGAACGAGACAAAGATTCTGCCAGCTACCTCCAGGCTGGACAAGATGGAGTATCAAATTGTCAGCCTTCCGAAAGGTTACGAATTGGAGGAACATTCCGCCATCAGCTGTGTCGCTTCTGTTGCTAAACGCAGGAATGAAATGCTCCAGCAAAGCTGGAGTGACAGAGTATTGGCCGACAGAGAAGGGCAGGAACATTGCAAACCCTCAAGGCCAAGGCCAAGCAGTACTATTCAAGATCCTTTAAGATCTTTAAGAGAACTTGCATTAATGCTGGCTCCTAGATCTACAGAAAGGACTGTTGTGGCCGCCCAAATCTCACACTTAATATGTATAAAGAATACTTCTTGTGAGATTTGGGTGTCACAACATTCCCTTCCGATAACTTGTGTTCTTGTGAGATTTGGGTGTCACAACATTCCCTTCCGATAACTTGTGTGTTGATATCTGTTCAAGCCCCAAGGATTAATCTGGATTAATCTGGGACCAAAAAAACAAAAAAAACAAAAAAACAAAAAACAAAAACAATGTTTTCAGGACTACTTGGATCAGGGCTATCTTTAGACTAGTCTCCAAAACATTGGTTTTTTTGGTTTTTTTGGTTTTTTTGTTTTTTTTTGGTTTTTTTGGTCCCAGATTAATCCAGATTAATCCAGATTAATCCAAGCTAATCTACGATCATCAGATCTATTTAACATTTAAGTACTAACATGTGGTTGGCTAATTTTCTATATTCTCTGGTCATCTGCCTTTATTGGCTTTTAGCGCCGCTCTCTCTCTGTGTCTGGACTACTGAAGCAAGTTAATCTAAGATCATCAGATCTATTTAACTACTAATTTCCAACATGTGGTTAGCTAATTTTCTATATTCCCTGCTCATCCATCAAATATAGGCCATGTCGTTTGAATCCACAAGTAAGCATTAGCATATGGAAGTTTCCTCAAGTAAGGATCCATCAAATATATACCATATTGTTTGAATCCACAAGTAAAGATTGGCACATAGAAGTTTCTTCAATTAAGGATCCATCAAGTGACCCTCCAAACAAAGCCTGAGTACTTTATGCCAGGCGCAGGTTCATGTAAAGATCATATCATTGTCTTTTTACCATTTTGGGACCAAGCATCCATAACATTTGAAACATGCTTCTTTGTTGCAGGCAAAAACCTGGGGATACTTGAAACAGTTTTGGATTTTCCATATACATTTTTCCAATAGTAGCTAGCACTTCAATCTCTATATGTTCACTGACAGTTTCCTCCAAAGATTCTTACTTGAGATTTACATGTGATGCTCTTGGATCTGTACAAATGCTTACTTGTGAATACAAAGAAGTTTATTGTTTTGTTTAAAACCTCTTGGCTTGAGATTTACATGTGATGTTCTTGGACCTGTACAGATGTTTACTTGTGAACACAAACAGAAACTTGTATTGTCCTGCCTAAAACATCCTTACTTGAGATTTACATGTGATGTTCTTGGATTTTTGTGGTATATTAGAGCATCTTTACTTGAGATTTACATGTGTAGGGGATGATCCTGGGCCTGTACAGATGTTTCCTTGTGAGCCAAAAGAATCTTTTATGGTTCCTTGAAACCTCTTTACTTGAGATTTACATATGATGATCTTGGATCTTTAGAGATGCTTACTTACTTGTGAACAGAAATAACCTTTTATGATTCTTCAAATCATTTTTGTAAACAAGTGCACTGGGCCTTTGCACTTGCAATTGTTTCAAAGTTTTGGGAAAGGAAACAAGTTGCTGGCATTGCCAGTTTTGATTGCATCACACTATGAATTTTATATGTCCATATTGGTGTCCAAAGGTTTGGGAATCAGTGGAACCAAGTCCAAATGTATAATCAAAATCCTTAAAAACCACATGTCAGCCCTTGAATTTTCATATAAATTTTATATGAAGTTTATATGCAGTTTATATGCAGTTTATATGCAGTTTATATGCAGTTTCAAAACTACATGTAGTTTATATGCAGTTTTGACCAAACTACATGTAGTTTATATGCAGTTTTGAAAACTGCATATAAACTGCATATAAACTACATATAAACTGCATATAAACTGCATACCAAAAATCTACAGATTTTGAATGATTTTGACATGCCTGGAAAGCTGAAAGCTTGAGATTTTGAACTGCTGCTGCAAGAAAATTTGTGATTTTCAAGGATGACAACTTAGAAAGAAAAAGTATATATACACATGCAAGACCTTTTAGGCAGACCACTAACTGAACCAAAGATACTTTGATGAAATGAACCTGAGGGCCATTGCTGCTAAAGTTTCAGATCCTTTTCAAAACTTGGTAAAGGCTGCAAATAATGTTTCTCACGAAATAATTTCATATGTGTCCCATGACATTTGTCAAGACTGCCTGGAACTTACCAAATAAAATTGCAAGACATTTGGCCAAACAATGGTTCAAGAGTTATTCATGACTTTTTTGTGTAGGTTTCCCAGTGAAATAGTTCATGGTTAATTAAAAACTTGACAACAATAGTTAAAAAAGAGGCGGCCACAACAGTCCCCTCCCTAGATCTAATGTGATCCTACTGTAACTCCTAGATGGAACATGATCTTGGCTCGCAACCAGCACCTTTCATTAAGAAGGCAGTGAAATATGACTGAAAATGGTCTGTACTGTAATGCTCGTCCAAACCAATCTGAAGGAATCATGGGATTCCACATCTTTTTGTGACTTGTGGTAGTTGCATTGGCAACTTTGATGCTTGTCGACAATGACCATTAGACAGCACCAAACAGCATGGGGTTTCGTTCCGTTTCGGTACCGAAGGGTCTGCATTGGGCCAAAAAACCGTGGAGACATGTCAACCTTCACCGACCGATAGGGTTTCAAGGCCATCTCAGCAGAGTGGAAATTCTACCCTCTGGTAAACTAACATAGCTATGGAAAATCACCATTTTTAATGGGAAAACTCACTATAAATGGTCATTTTCAATAGATATGTTAAATTACCAGAGGGTAACTGCCCAGTGCCACGGAGGGTATGGCACCTCAAGGCCCTCACCGCTCAAGCCGAGGCCTTGGATTTGGCGAGATTCATCACCCAATTTTCAAAGGGTCAACCTGCAGCACTGGGTGTAAAGCTTGGCAAGGTGTGATGTTGAGGATCCAATCTGCTTGGCGCAAAATCAGCAGCCTGGCACATCACGACTGGAAAATCTTGTGGCTCCAAGGTCATTGCAACGGCTGCCACCTTTGCTGGCTGTCTGCAGGGGGTGAAGCTTAAGCCTTCTGGCCTCAGGCGCGACACGCACCGACCAAAGAGGTGATGCACCAGCGGAACCAGTGGATCTTAGGGGTATATCCCATCATCATGCGCAAATCCGCAGATAGATCACTGGATACATGATATACATGATATACATGATATTCATGATATGCATTGTCTGCCTTCTCTCTTGACCCACGGGGATCCGACACGTGACTCGCAGCCTCACCAGCGGCAGTCTGCAGCGGTGAGCGGCCTCGGAGTCTCCCGGCCCGACCCATCCCGACCATCCCGGTGATGCTTAGACTTCGACAAAGCACGCAGAGCTCACGAGCAGTTGCACGCAGCTCTGCAGTGGCCTAGCTCAGCTCAAAAAAAAGTGGGGCAGTGAGTACCACCCTTGAACGGAGGAAATAGATGTATTGTATATTAATAAATTATTAATATTATAAGAAATAATAGTTTTGGTTGAAATAAACCATCAACAACCATCAACAACCATCATCAACCATCATCAACCATCATGAACCCACGTTTGGAGGCTTTTTTGGTACAATAAAAATTGACCCATACCCAAGTGAAGCTGATCCTAGACATAGGCAAGCCATAGGCAAGTCCCGCCTCTGAGATCTCCTGTTGCAGCGTACTTCGAATCTCAGATGCCATGTGTTCCTTGTACTCCTTCAAGTGAGCCTTGCCAATCAGATGGTCTCACACGCTACCACTGAAATCACACAAAATCATGGCAACGTTTTTTTTGCTAAAGATGATTTTCAAAAAAATAGCTACACAGGTTGACCAATCAACCCAATCAACGAAACCAGATTTATCCAGATTTTAATCACATATCAAAGCTGATCCATTTCCCTTCTCACTCCATGCCTCCAGCGCGAGCTTCATTGGTGCGAAGCACGCAGCCTCGCTGCCGGCATGGGTCAAAATTGGATTCCAAACAGTGGGATTGTGATACCCTGGGCTTTTAGTTTTGACCCATGAACCATATATACACATTACCGTTATATGCTGGTTTCTTGAAATATCTTGAAATGGGTACCCCAAATCATCCAAGTCATTAGACCATAACTTTATATTGAAACCTATGGTGACTTTGGGATCCCCCATGACTTGAGACACCTCCATATATTCCTAATTTTCTTGGTTCACTCCCAGTCCTTTATGGCGCAATGTGGCATCCTCTTAGCTTGGATCCACAATAGCAGCATATCATACCAATTTGATCCAATTTGCGGTTCGTTCTTGTGGATACCCCCACTTGGGATTATTTTTGCTTATTCATGTCATAGCCCCCTACTATGACAGGAAAACAAGCAAGGGCATCAATATTAATTGATAATGGGATCCTACTATTTTCCCACAAATTTAGATGATGAATATTTTTTCAGGAAAATAGTAGGATCCCATCATTGAATAGTATCCCAACATCCCAAGTTGTCCCATATTTTCATGGGTTTTTCACAACCTCCCAATGGTTGGAAGCTCTGGAGGCTCCGCCTCTGCAGCCTCCGCTCGTCGCATGGCGGCCTCTGCCGCTTCTCGCAAACCTTCCACTGCAGCCTGGAGGAATGAGGGGATGGGGCCCCAAATTGATGACCAGTTCATAGATTTTCATAGAGAAAAAGCATGGGAAACCCCTGGAGTTTGGTGGAAATCACATGAAATCACCTTATTTCAGACGTCCTCCCATTTTGTAAGGCGTGAACAGGTTCCCGAAATCATGACATATCACGACTCAAAACGGCCAAAACGGGCTAAACGGCAGGGCAAAAACCAGGCTCCAAACCAGCAGCATCTCTCTTTCACTGCTGAAGGGATCTTCGCTGCTTGCGCTTGCCTGTCACATGCTCAGGATTCAGCGCCGATGCGGGCAAGTCTCGTGTGCAAATGAGAGAATCAACGTCGCGGTTCACGGATAAAAGATTAATGCAGTTAATTATAGAATGTTATAGATGAAGTTTTTAAGAAGAACCTTCCAAGCTTGAACATCTTGAATCAAACTGAGACGCTTCCTTGCCCAAGGCTCTGGGAGATGTTTATACCCAAGCCATCCCGAGCCTGCATATCAGGCGCATCGGACTCCGTAGACTTCGAGCCTGCCTTTGGCTGGGCCAGCCTGGTGACATGAAAAACCATCCATTCTGGGTGATTGATAATTTTGAACCAGGCCCATTATAGCCAGGATTTGGCTATGACCTAAGAAACCGACACGGTCCGCCGATGTAACTTTGCCTTGGCGCAAATCGCTGCAATCTGACAGCTTGTGCAGCTCGCGCTCAGAAAGCATTGCTCAAGAGTCATTACTATCCAGCAAATGCTTACAGTAGCTGTCCGAACAACTCTTGCTCCTCATTATGTCCTCCGTCCTTCCAGTTCACTGGTGAATAGGCATTTCCCAGCTAATGGATTGTGATACTCCCCAATATATTGGATAGTGTAATTCCATATAATTATCAATCAACAGTGGTTTTGAACATGGCTCAAATACGGGTTTGTCTGAAAATAGGGCCAAAATTTGGTGATTTTCTCGTGTTCCCTATTGAATGACCATTTTATGGGTACACCATGGTATACTACCAATTTTCAGACAGACCCAAATATCATATCAAGTGATATCCCATATCCCATCAATATAATTATCCCCATTTTCATATGTCCCATGAATATCCCATTCTATCCTCATTTGAAGGTGATGTTCCCCTGTTTATGATGGATAGATGGTTAAATCACTATGTTGGATAGAATTTGAATGATATCCCATAAATATATATATATATATCCTATGAATATCCCATGTTTACACCATTTTTGATGTGTTAAATCACCATGTTGGTGACGCCAGCATCCACCACTCAGTCTGCGACATCAATCCCATGGCTGGACACCAGCTTTCGCACGCGTTGCACTGCGCCAGGCCCATGCCTGCGATTTTCTAACCTCTGGATGCGGTAGGACCCAGGGAAGATTGGACTGTGTATATCATGTATTATAAGATTATATATGATTATATGTGTATATTATGTGTATAAATTGATGTATATATTAACACATATATATAGTTATATACATACCCTGTAACTCCATATCCATTACAGTAATTAAAGAAGTTTAAGTTGGAATTCGGATGGAGGCTGGAAAACCCTGGTTTTGCCAACCCTTCCAAAACCTGTAAATGTCGCGTGAAAACCAGCAGACATTCCCTACAAATACTTGAAAAAAACCGTCGTCAGAAAGAATCATTTGTCAAACCGAATCAAAACCGGGTCTTGACGCGCAAAAGCCGGATTTCGCATTTTTCAGGATATGGTTGTGCACGGTGACTGTGTATTATATATATATATGTTATTATATGTGTGTGTAGTGTGTATGTATGTGTGTATGTATGTGTGTATGTATGTGTGTATGTATGTGTGTATGTATGTGTGTATGTATGTGTGTATGTATGTGTGTATGTATGTGTGTGTGTGCGTGTTACATTATATATATACAGTAGTTTATACAATTATGCGTATATTGTGTATATCATTACGTTGATAACATGACATCACATAAGATTATATATATACAATCCAATGTCCAATCTAATCTATGATATACCGTGCATCATCATTAATATATTTTCAGCTGTTGTTCGGCCGGTAGATAGGAGAGACCTCCCAGGCCTCTCTCCGGCGTCCGACTGCATAGAAACTTGGGTTGTGCTGCTTCGGAGGCCTCAGGCGTCCATGATCAATGCCATCCCCCCAATATTCACCACCCGCTAGATGGTTTCAGGTGGTGTTTAATATTTGGGGGAAGAGATCATGTTAAAATCGAATTGTGTTTCAAGTGGTGTGATGATGTGCAAGGATGTAAGCTTGATATAGCTTGATGTTTCAAAAGATGCCTTGAAGCCTTGAAGCAACACTATCCAAACTCCAGCAGTCATCTGGGAATGGGTCAAAATTGAAGACCTGGGACCACAGATTTTAGCCTATTCTTAGTATTAACCATCGAACTATTGGGGTACCCAATTTTGACTCATACCCATCTGTTGGGCGGAACGGTGCAAGATTTTTCGCTTCACGCTGCACTGGTGGTTTCACCAAAGTTTTGGAGCTTTTCCTGCAGCTGAGTGAACGAGGGAGGCCACCTAGAAGATGCCGTGCGTTTCAATGCAAATCGGTGAGTCTGAAAATGTGGTATATCATGGTATATCATGGTATATCCCCCAAGTTTCCAATCTAATTCAAATGATGATGTCAATGGATTTAGAGGTAAAGTACCATATTTTCAGACAAGCTGAAATATTCAGCCAAGGAACCTCTTCAGGTCTTGCTTTTAGACTCATTGCTCCAATTGCTATTTCCAACTTCTCTCCTGCGCCGTCATCCAAAGCAAAGTCTTTGGCTGACTGCAGGCAGAACGTGACTCTGAGGAAGCGACTTGCTTTTTGTGGACGGCCCTCCAAGCATGCCAAGAAGGATTCAGCCCACGCCTTCCACAAAGGATCCAGCAATTCAAGATGAATTCAGGCAACATGGGCTAATTGCACGGAACAGGAAAACATCCGAGATTGGACTAAAAGAAGAATTGCATTAAAAAAAAGTACCATCAAATCATACAGAGAGAAGAAAAAGGACAATGGCAATTGAGCATTTCTCTCTAATTTCTCTAATCCCACCCTTGTTTGAAGATCGACCGAATCACCGCCTTGGTCAGGTCATCCTTCTCTGTATCAAGCTCAATTGTAGACACCGCTGCGCCCTTCCTGAGCACGACTTGGCAAAATGATGGTGAACTGCAGTGGCTAAAAATTCTGAACTCCAAAAAATGATAAACATGGGATGCTCGAATACAGCCAAGTACCACATTGATGGTCTCATTGTGGGCAATTGGTACCCCAATTTTGCGCAATACCCCACTCATTGTGGCAAGCTCAGCCTTCATTTCCCCTGTTCACTACATTGCCAGAACTACCAACCTATGGAATTGTGTGTGAAAGCATGACCCGACTCCACAGCCGTACAAGCTTCAGAACTGACAGAATGGGAACGCCAATCATCATCCCCACTGGGCCCCAAATGAAGCCAAAGTAGTTGATGGTCAACAGGACCCAAACCTCAACAGGCTGCAACTACTACGTACTAAGTTACAAGGATGCACTAGGATCCACTACTGGTGCCACTACGTGTCAGTAATTTCGAGAAAATCCACGGGTGACTGAGCACATGGCTGGGTGTACCTTCATCTCCGTATCTGCTTGGATTAGGGATGTCTCAATGATGTTGTTGAAAACGATTTTCATCGCCTGAGCAAGCGAACGAAACCAAGCAAACAAGCGAAAGAAGAATGAGGGGAGTCCTCCAACATTTACATGTCTGAACACGAGGCATCAGCATCATAAAGACACAACAACTCTGCAGTGTCTGTGTCAGACTAGGTGTAGTAGGTGCATTCTCCTTGAGCCAGGATGCTAATTGTCCCATTGTTGCCTTCATCAAGGTGGTGGCTGGAGATGCCAATCGGCCGTCTAACAAGATCACTGGCATGGGAATGATGATGGCAATGATGGTACCTGGAGGCTATCGAAGGTCGGAAGTCGTGAAATTTTCTCGAATCCACCGTGCATAGTGATTTCGTGAGCAAACTGGGTTGCTTGCCGACTTCGGGAACGTAATTGAAGAAGAAGGATACGATGCCAAAGAAAATTGCCTGGGATAGGCTGCAGACAGTGAGGGCAATGGACTGACAGGGGCATGATCAATGTGGACCCTGAAGCTTCGCAAGTGTAACAATGACAACAATGACATGTCATGCAGCAAGAGTGACCAAATCATTGTTCAGCAACAAGAAGAGCGCGGAGACCTCAAAAGAACAAGCTCCAATGACCAGAATCGACATGGAACAAGATGTTCGTCAGAGTTTGTGGTGCACTCTCAACCGAGGCTGTCACAGAGAAGCCATACAATAGCGACACCAGGGTCTTCTTCCACAAATAGCTTCTGACCTAAGAGAAATCCAAGTGCTCAAACACACAACAAATCACAGGCCACGCGATAAGATGATCAAAGAGCCCAACAAGATTGCTCACTTTGCCACCGATCGGAAGAGGATGAAGGAGTCCGAAGATCACATAAAGCAGAATAATGATAAGACTGACCACACACCTCGGAACACGATATATCCTGCATATACCATGCCAGAAATTTGATTATGTACGAAGTATATATGCACAAAGTGCAAATTCACAAAAACAAAATTCAAACAAATCCCAACATGTTGCAGTTTGGGGGTGAAAGGCTGGTCTTCCTTCTTGCATTCCAAGCGTCGAGGATACATCTGATATGATTTCCTCGACGACTGCTGAGACCAACGCCTGGCCCTTGTCCAACAAATGAGAGTAGAACCTGCGGCTATTCTGTGCAAGGCTTCGCACATCTTCGATCTTCGGATCTCAATTTGATCCATACCCGTTCAAGGGTGACATGTAGAATAAAAAACATTAAACAACTATGATGTCTGTATACTGCCCCAGTCCTGCTGTGGAAGACAGCTGAACAATAACGGATGATACTTGATGAAATCAGATGAACATGTTGTCCAATGGCAACAACAACTAGAAGATACTAGAAGCATTTGTCTCAACTGACTGCAGGCTGGGAACCCATTTAAGTGTGCATCCGTCTGCTCCCCAAGCTGCAGCCGCAAGGACAGCTTCCGAGTGATGCTTTCCAGCCATGCCACGAGGTTCGCAGCCCCGAGGGAGTAGCTTGACCAACCTCATGGTTTTGCCCAACCGTCCTGGGGGTGGTTTCCTGCCTTGGGGGTACCCCGAAACGGATGATCTATGATGGACAATCCCATTAAAATGATTTAAAATGGATGATTGGGATTGATCTTAAAATATCTTAAAATGGTATCCCCAATTTAGGAAACCCCAATTTGGATTCACTTGAAGAATTGATCTGTACATTGAATATATTGAATGCCAGTGCCATCAAGTAGTCGCCAGGTTTAAATCCTGAACCCTGCCACCGAAACTCTTTCGCGCAGATGCAAAGCCCCAGCCAGCAGCGAACCCGCCAGGACGGTGACTACCTCGCTATCGGATCGCCCAATGGCGAAACAGAATGCCCAACGTAGCAGTTTTCAGAGCCTGCGGTCTTCTTACTGGCTTTCCTATCTTTCCTTGTTTCACTGAGTTTCACCCATCCACTGTGGATTCCTGTGAACTCTTCTGCCACTCGTTTCTTTTCATTTCCAGCCATTGATGCACATATATCAATCTGGTCGCTGCCCGGCGCGATGCAAACTGAGAACCACGCCAGTAAGATCAAGCCTATCCTTGGTGGCAGATGATCACTGAAAAACAACAGTCCAGATGCCAAACCACAGAACATGACGCAAGGCAAACAAAAAAAAAGGTCTTGTTGCAGGTTGAGCCTCGCTATACTCACTGAAGCGCACCTTGCAGCTCCCTCGCAGAGGGGATCATCATCCTTAGTTCAGGTAGAGTGAATTTTGCTCCTCCATTTTTTTCCTGCGGCTTGGCCACGGTGGGTCCATTCAGAGGTTCCAGTTCTGCTCGATCTGGGTCTTCACCCTCCTGCAGCTCTTCTCATCAGTGGACCTTGTGGTGAATTCCATGGTGATTTTCGGCCTCCTCGCCGTAGAAGGCGTCTTTTCTCATCTTTCTGTGGCAACAGCAGCAGAACCACCTAGTCAGGCGGCAGAAGAACAGGGATGCACTTCCAGTCTGGTGCCTCAAGATCTACAGAAACTTCAGAGATTTCTTCAGTATTTCCAAGGGCCTGTATGGTGGCATTCTGCCAGAAAAGCCATGGTAGATGGCGTTCACCTCAATAGTGTCATTGGCACGCGCTGCATACCCCATTTTATGGCAATTTCAAGAAAGGACATGTGTTATAAACGCATTTTGGGTGGCCAAGTTGCAGTTGGCTCCACTGCACAAACAACCAGTGCACTAAGTACCTCAGCCCAAGAAGTTCTTTGCATCACACCTTGGAAATTTTGACCCTGGTCCCTCCCTGTGTTCTGACCAGGCGCAAACGGAACTAGCACCGATCGTAAGTGGAAAAGAAGAATATGGCCACCTTGGCCAAAGTTTCCATAGACGGTATTGCAATGTATTGCACAGTGCAAGTTTCCATAGCTGCGTGAGTGACATGGCAGCCCTTGGGCTCAGGCAAACCAACGCTACCAGCATCAACCTTGCAGTCAGAACATTTAGTCATGCTTCCATGTTCCAATAAAGGCATTGAAGAGCATTGAATCCGTGTGGATGTCGTTGTTACAGGCTTCTCAGGACGAGAAACAGAAACACAGCAACCTTCTGAAGCGACTTTGTCACTGCAGTCACATTGTCAGATGATGATGGCTCTTGTCTTCTGGGCAACATCCTGCCGGCATCTTTTTTCAGCATAGGTTCAGCTTTGACAAAACGTCCAGAAGACATCAGAAGACCATGCCACTTGCGTCCCTTTCCCCCTTCCTCAATCTTCATGCAACGTCCGACTCCACGGAACCTTTGAAGTGTCGAACATTGGTTGCTGACCAGATGCAGCAAGGTACTTAGGTCCACGCGAGAAACTTGGTCCAGCCAAAGGCTCCCAGGAAAGGCGAATGACATAGAACCTCATATGGAGCTGCTAAAAGCCTCTGAATGAATTCGGTCACAGCACAGCACTGAGTTTTCCTATCATGTCCATCTTTTCTTCCCAAGGCACGTTCAAGGCAGTTTTGCCCCTACAAATAGCACTGTGGGGTTTGAACCAAGTGTTGCGGGTCGAAAACGGTGAAAAAAAATCTGCAGACTCACCGACTCACCTTACATTGCCTTGCATCCTTAGAAGCACCAAGCAACATGCAGACAGCGCGAGTTTCAGCAACTGAGGCGGCATCAAAGAAGTCCACTGAAACAATGGAACGGCTCCACAACCTCGGCTAGACTCAAATCGGATCTTGGTTCAATTCATGCGTGGACATTGAAACTGCGCAGTTCTACCCATGATCGATTGATCATGATTATTGATTATAATATATTATAACATATTATAATTATTGATTTACAATGTTATGTAATTAATGTTTATACATGTTTATACCACTTAGATCAGGTCCATTTAGTATGTGTAAACCCAGTCAATACCAATCAACTCCAATCAACTCCAATCAACTGGTGATTTTCTCCACACGCTCTTCTTCTCTGCAACGGATTATCAACTCATGAGCACTCCAACAGCGACCGTGGCCCCTGCGCACGGCAAGCTACACCTGGGTTGGGCCTCGGGGCGACTTTCCTCGAGCCCAGTAGCTGAGGCGCAGTTGTTTGGTGTGAACGTTGTTTCGGCCATTTTGGAGGAAGGAATGCCCCCCTCCATAGGCTATGGGCTCAAGGCACCTGTAACTCCCTACTAAATCATGGTTTCTGGGGGTCATATTGGGGGAAAGGGACTATTTGTAAATGGGTTCTGCAGGTTGGTTGAGAGGGACTCCCGCAATAGATTGCAAGATTACAATCGAAAAAAAAACACATTGAGACAGAGCAGCATAATGTCCCAAGCAGCCTTTTTTGCTACTGAAGCGAGCTGAGAATATCGTTGTCAGCATCAGCAAGAAGTAGCTCTTTCATGCCCTTGGCGCGTTCTCAAAAATGTGAAGATCTGCTGTGTCCAGCTGTCACAGGTCCGTCTTTCAATGTTCTCTCGTTCTCTCTTCACGAAAAGGATGGTCCACCAATATCAGCCTTTTCCGCATTGAGGTCGCTGCATCTGGCAGTATGGGTTCCCATTCACCTTCAGGACCACGTCGCGCCATATAGCGGAAGCCCTGGGTAGCGGGAACTACTTTGTCTGCTTAATGGCATCAAATGTCCCAAAATGAGTTTCATCCAATTTACCAACTTCAGTCCGGTGCAATCAAAACTGCAGAAAAGGGAAACGGCTGGGTGCCTCCATACATACGGAGTCAGAAGCATCTTGGGGTCCTTGCTACACAAGTCTGATCGTTTCTACATTGACATGATGTGACCACTGTTGAAAAAGGAGTTGCGAAATGTATTTTTTCCCCATCTTACACTATATATGATATATGTTCAAAAAAACCAACATACTCCAACATTCTGCAACAGACAGAGAGTTTCTGTTCTGCAACATACTGCACATGTTGGTACACCGTCCTCGTTTGCAGTCTCTGGGCCGTTCAAACTCTGGAGATTCGATGCCAGGGATTTCGGCCAATGGGCAGGCATGTTCCAAGACCACCTGCGTGTAGAGCATCGCAGAGTCAGTGGTCATTTGCCAAGGGCCCAAATGCCTCCACAGCATTCGACAGCATATCATGGCATATCATGGCATATCATGGCATATCATGACACATGCAGAGCTGCAGTGGTGGTTCTGTCTATAACATAATTGCTCGGCCTCCTGTGCTTGAACGCTGCACCTTGGAATTTGCTTGGCCCACAGACAACTGCTTAGCAGTGAGACTGAGACTAGTACAATTCAGTATCAATATCAAGTCAATGCTCTGACGCTCAAGTCACTGGCCTGCCTCTCGATGCACAATGTGTCAGTTTTGACAAACTCAGTCTCGCGCGAATCTCGGACGTCCGGTCATCACTGCCATAAGATCCATCTTCGTTCTCAATCACATTTCCCAGAATGCCGCCGAACACCTGATGCTTGTTTTCTGCACGTCATCCGTGTCATCTGTTTGAACAAAAGTTATAGCTAACCGCTGGCCATCCGTGTTGCAAAGTCCAGGAAAGAATCGTTGCAACCCTCTCCATCCATGAGGCACTGAGGATATCTGGGGATAGGCACGAAGGCATCAAACTTTGCCACGTCATTTGGCTGCAAAGCTTCTTCTGCCTGAGGTTTCCATAGAATCCGCGTGCCCTGAACAGAATCCAAACAGAGCAGAAGCCGCCCAGAACTGAGTCACAAACATTCATGTCCAGCAGGCAGATTCGGTCCCTGAATCTGATGGATCCAATGGATCCGTTGAACATGACTGAACACCTGCGTTGCTCACAACCTTTGACCTAAAAAAATTGAATTCATGTTGTCTCTTTGCACAGCATCTCTATGCACTCAGGATTCAGACCATCCAGGCAAAGTGGGGCCATCTGGCACAGAGTCGAATCAACCGGATATGGATCACAATTCAAGGCTATCCAAGTTTGTCCGACATGTTTGTGTCCCAAAAACTGGGTACCCAAAATCCAAGCAGCAGAAGCCCATGATTTATCATGTTTTATTGTATTATAATATGATTCATTATTCGTGTAAAATAGATTGAAAGTGATAGTGTAAACTCAAGGCTGGTCAACTGTCCAAGTCCAGTCCGCACCTGGCCAAGTACCTGGAGGCACGAGTTCTTCCAGTCCTCGAATCTGCGCGGATCTGGGCGATCCAATTTCTGGAGGTACCAACGGACCCACGGTTGATGTGTTTGTCATGTTTACCCTCTGGTAATTTAACAAAAAGCTATTGAAAATGGCCATTTATAGTGAGTTTTCCCATTAAAAATGGTGATTTTCCATAGTTATGTTAAATTACCAGAGGGTAGATGGTGTTTCACACCAATCACTCATAAATATGCAAAAAGCATCAAAAAGCGGCATTGTCAAATTGGTCAAATCCGTATCCAAATGTATCAAATATGACCTTGACATACCTTGACATTGGCAATCGTTGTGATTCCCAATCAAAGTATGTCAAGGTATGTCAAGGTTATACACAAGTATATCAAGTATTGATCATCATCCCCTGCTGAGGCCTCAGCGTTTTGTGTTGGCTCTGGGTGCCTCCGCATCTTTGGGCACCAACTGCTTTACGTCTTCCTCATTTGGCCATCGCACGAAGACCAGTTGCTCGGGCGGCACCTGGGTGGCAAGTGTTCAAGGACCCCGGAAATCATATCGTCGTTGAATGCAGGGATTGGCATATGCATAGATAAGTGTGGAGAATTCTTCGATCCCTCCATCCCTCCCAATTCTTAGGTCCTTTTTTACACAAGTAGATATGGCACACTCGGGCTGCAAGCCCAGGAGTTCACCAGTCACTGACTGTACAGTTGGTGGTGCGACGGTAGAGATATTGGTCGCACTGTTCTCTGCCAGTTCGGCAACTTCACACCTCACAATTGAGTTCGGTCACCACGTCATCCACGTTGGTTTACATACAAACTCAGCGCTGTGCAGAGTAGGGAAGCGCTCAAATTGAGGTAAACAATCGAGATCTATCTCCCTTCGCCAAAACGGGTGTAAAGAAAATTTGTCCCGCTGACTGGGCGGTAAGGCTTGCTTAATGCGAAGCCTTGCCCTCACTAGGTGACACTCAAATCAAACAGCGAACTACCAAGCCTAAGTAGATAGAGGTTTTTCAGCACATGTTTTAAACTTTATCACCTTCATCCTTCAGCGGATATGCAATTAAATCCGGCAAAAAGCCACCAGAGTCCTCGAATTCTTGACACAGGTGTCAGCAACCAGAAATCAACAGCGTGTTGTTTGTTGCCAGTCATTCAACATCTTCAAAGATAGAGTAAAGACTCACTGTCCACACGAGTATGTCTGAAAATGCGGGATATCCCAAAATGAGCCAAAAAAAAAGTGAAAAAAATCTCTTCGAGAAAACATATATAGTTTATATATGTTTATATGATATCATAAAAAATCATCAATAAACAACGATTCAACAACGGTTTTGTTGTGGTTTTGCGGGCTATCCCCCATTTCGAGACAAGCCCATGTGGCGCGCTTCGACAAACTGACACCTAGAACTGGTCGATACCGTTCTCCGTGGCCTGGGTTTCATCAACGGACATCATCCTCGCCAGCGGTGCTCCATCCAAAGACATCATTCGCACCAGTGGCTCTGCGTGAACTCCATCAATTGACATTTTCCTGGGAGAAAAAAGGAAACCAAAGCAAATCATATAAATATATATATATTACGTATATTATAAATATAATATATAATAATATATATATATATATTGATTCCCTGTCGATTCCCCAGATAGTGGATTTACCATTGGGAAATAGGAAATCATCCTTAGCAAATCAAGGTTTCCTCGTCAGCTGCAGTGAAGATTGATGTTCATCCAAATCATCAGACATTCGTCGCATGAGACGAGACTCGTTCTGGATGTTTGGGTTTCTGGTCTCAAAATCAAACGACATGCTGCGCACCACACTAGTAGTCACTGACTCCAGTCGTTGCCACTGAGTTGAGCACAGGTCCCAGAGAGATTTGAGTTGCGGAGTCACACGTTGACAAATTGCATTGACCTGTCCTGGATTGCCCCCAATCTGCCGCAGCACGGGGTGCTTTGCCAACTTCTGCAGGATCCCTTCGGTCTTGGTCAAATTGCCCTGGCTTTGTGCACCATGATCCAGGTCACATGGTCGCAGCGGGCGGTGAATACGTTTTAGGAAGAGCTCCGCAGACCTCGGTGCGCGGAAGTGATTTTATGTGACCTGCTTGGCAAACAAGACTCCAGAGTGCTTGAGGATCCTTGCTCTGTTCTGGCTCCAAACAAATCAGACCATTGGACCATGGCAAAACAGTGGGATCCTATGGGATCCTTTGAGCTGCCCTGAGGACCTGGCTGTGCATCGGTCAATGCTCCCAATGGCACGTTGACACACTTGCAAGGGCCAAGGGACTCGTACACATGATCTCTGGAGCAAACTACTAGACCTCACTGTCGCAGAAGTATCATGAAGATTCATGCGAGCTTTGATTGATTGCAGGGTAGCACAAACTCTCAGTGCTAAGCAAAATAGAGAAACAAAACAAATGGCTTCACCAAAACAACCTGCGGATACCTGCGGCCAAGTCACTTAAATTCCTCACCTCAGTTTGTATTCGGTGCCTAGAAACACAGTTGACCTACATTTGTGAAGGCTTGATGCGAAGTCAAAAATCATAAAAATCAGCAGCCCCTCTGCTGTCGGGCAGCTGTCTCCAGCATATTGCTCCTTGGCTCAACTGGTCTGAAGCCCACAAGTAGCAGAAACTTGAGTAAAGCTTCTGGCCCATGATTTGGTCATTCAACGTCATTCATATCACAAAATCTGAGCAAGCAGCAAGCTGTTGGCTGGGTCCAACATGGTCAAACATATGCGACGATTGAGTCTAGAAGCAAAAGGCTTTGCACTTGTGGGCTCGCACGTACTGCCCCAGAATGGTCGTCCAGAAGCAGCAGGTAGCGGCTCCTGGATTTGATGTGGACATCGATCAAAACCCTGGTAAGCGGGTGAACATCAAAATCCAGTACGAGTAGCTGGATGTAGCTGGTTGTTATGGATCTTCATCCCCTAAATACAGTCCTCTAACAGGTTTAACCCATCCCCGCATCAACAAACACGGCGCAGCAGCCACGCATGAACCGCGTGCCTGGTCTGATCAATCTGCTGCAAAGCCAACAAGACATCCTTCTGACTTCGAGAGGCATTTGCCAGCAGCTGTCGGGATACAAGAGACTGCGAAATTCCTGGCATGAAATCTGACTCCATCTGAATCTAACTCCAATCCAACTCCATCTGACTCTTTTTCAGAACACATCTGAGTGTCTGAAATGTGTGTTGCGGATCCGGCAGATACCTATCCCACAAACGGCCAAAAGTCCAGGCCTTGAATCACATTTGCCAAGTCTGGCCTTCCGTCAATAGAGACATATAGCACATTCCTCCACACAGCGCATTGGACATTCAATGACAGTCATACACTGAGCATGTCCACATTCAAATTGCATGGTTTTTCTATGTGTCTTGTCCTTGAAAATATACGCCCAGGTGAAGAAGCAAAGTGGGCAAGTTCAATTGCCTCGACAGGTGGTGCTAGGCGGTGGTATGGTGTGGTTCCAAGTTGCAAACGTCTTACCCTACGGTTCGCTCCAAGGCACGGCAACAGTTTTGCCAATCCCCTCGGGGCCAGAAAGAATGCATGCTCTTCGAGCGGGTTTTCCTCAGCGACCAAGGCGAACAGCTGGCGCCTACGGCGATCAGATCGCGAACAGAATGTTCGCCGTAGGACCGTAGGAATACCAGTTGAAATGCTATTTATAAGTTGAACATTCAAAAGTGCTGGCGGTGATCTCAGTCAAATGCATGATTCTTTCTGCCCAGCTGCCACTGCTCGATTCAAAGTTTCGCAAAATATCGCACAACACCTGGTCGATTCTGTATTGATAACAGATTCTAACATTCAAATAAGCACTTGTCTCATCCTTTTTCAAACACGGCGGCAATCTGCTGGGCTGCGCACAGAACTTCTGTCAATATAGTCTTCCACGCGCGGTGGCAGGCAACCCTGAGCTGGCTAGCATGTTACTGAGAATTCCCTTCTGTGAGAATGGAATGCTCTGGCCACACAAACCCACTTCATTTGACAACAATAATCACATACAACGCATACAAAAGCAGCGATATGTATTGCACTGGATCTTGCACAGGGGCACCTACACTTCACACTCCAACATCAGCTTGCCCACTGCTACTCAAATAATTACAACATTGCAAGTGTATCCAGAGCAATCCAAATCTCATACAGGCGTTTCTTAAAATTGCGGGCCCAAAGGATTGCCACATGAACAGGAAAAAAGAGATGAGAAACGATCTAATTCTCTTGAACGCCTCACCGGCTCTTGATTCTCTGACTCGACCTACCCTCTGGTAAATTAACATAACTATGGAAAATCACCATTTTTAATGGGAAAATCCACTATTTCTATGGTCATTTTCAATAGCTAATGGCAATGCTCCAAGCGCCAAGAAACTGACGCGCCCAAATCCCAACTCTCGGACCGCAAGCCAGACTGACCTTGAGCAAATACGAATCTAAGAATCTGACAAGAGAGAGGAATAAATAGGAATAACAAATACTAACACGTTAGTAATATGTAATTATACGTGATTATGTTATAATTATTATGTTTAGATAGGTTTAGTCCTCTTAGAATATGGAAGATCTTTATTTCAATGAGATGCTCCTGTAGAACTCTTTCTGACTTTGTGCAAACCAGCTGCCATCTGCTGACTCGTGAACTTGCATTGGTCTACGAGGCAGCGTCTGAGAGCGAGCAGCATGTTGGCCAAAGAGGACAAACATGTCCTTGGCAACGGTACACTCCAGACTGGCCACATGCGGATATTTTTTCTGAACACGTCTGAACCAAATCATTTCCAGGTCTAACACAGATTTGGGCCCAAATAAATATCCCAAATCAACTAGGTTTATCATAATATCATAAGTGTCACTGATAAAAAAAGATCCATTTTGGGAGGCCCCAACCCCATGTTCAGAAACACCCCCAAATGGCTGGTCAAGCAGGAAGACAGTGACACTTTTCAAACCGCCGAGGTGCAGCACTGGCCTTCACCTGCAGCATGGTTTACGTTGGAATCAGCCGGGCCCTTCTATCAGATGATGATTACCCTCTGGTAAATTAACATAGCTATTGAAAATCACCATTTTGAATAGGTAAATCAACTATAAATTGTACATGTTCAATAGCTATGTTAAATTACCAGAGGGTAATTATAGTCAATAGACTGACAATATACAATAGATGACTTATACAATGATAGAATAATTATGAGAGGAATCCAAAAAGGATGATAAATAGACTGACAATCAGCCATTCGAAGGATCCAAGTCAATCGTGGAATAGCGTGACTACAGCGTTGCACAGCACGGGACGCAGCCTTGGGGTCGGGATCAACCCGAAGAACTTGCTGAGCACTCTCGAAGGCTGAGCGCACTGAAACTTGTGATCCAAGCGCATAGTAAAACCTCCCGAAACGGCGAATCCGGTGAGGTGGCCAGGGATGGCGAAAGATCTGTCAAGGAGTTCATCATGGAGTTCATCATAGTTCATTATCTTTCATAATCTAGTTCATAAAAGTTCATCATCCACCAAAACACTTGACTTGACCCATGGGACATGTTTTGGAGGAAATCAAATCGTTGAATCTTCTGTGTCTGCCAAAGTCTGCCAGGATGCTGCTGCGTGAACACTGTAGCCTTAGGTCACCCGGAGTGTGGCCGAAGTATACATAGAAGGTATCTATAATGATACGTGTACGATGCAGATGGATATGCTATGCATGTAAGATTGGGCTAGAACTATATATATATATACTATATATATATTATATATATTCTGTATATATCTAGAATTGATATCTCAAAATAAACACAATATATCGTATATTATCGTATTATCTCAAGTTAGCACCGCATTTCTGATGCAGCCTGACCCGGGGCTCCGACAGCTACATCGTATACTTTGCCTTGGTAAAAACAGCGCAGAGCGCAGCGCTGTGCGCTTGGACTCTGTGCAGTTTCCAGTCGTGAACTCAAATCCACATTTTTTGACCGAGAGCGCGTAATAACCGCGATAAAAACAAGAGGTAATAACCACGATTGAAAAAAGTGGTAACCACGATAGAGAACCGATCGTCGAGCAACAAGTTGTCGGTCAATGTATGTGTGTATTAATGTATTACTATTAATGTATTACTATTAATGTATTACTATTAATGTATTACTACTAATGTATTACTACTAATGATTATATATACATACATAGAATATACTAATGTATTACTACTAATGATTATATATACATACATAGAATATACTAATGTATTACTACTAATGATTATATATACATACATAGAATATACTAATGTATTACTACTAATGATTATATATACATACATAGAATATACTAATGTATTACTACTAATGATGATATATACATACATAGAATATACTAATGTATTACTACTAAAGTTATCACGGTAGTGATCTTGTCGTTTTAACCAAATGTCCTTATCAGCGTTACTAAAACCTTATCGTTGCAACTGTATCCTTATCATGGTTATGCTGTACCCTATTTTTGACCCAACGGCTGGGTTCAAGGAGACATTTACATACATTTACAGGAAATCATGGTTTTTTTTATGTTTTTTTACCAGTAAAATATAAGTCAATATAGGTAGGTGTATGGTTCTTGTAAATTGTCTCATGATGAGATTCTGTTGGATTGCCTTGTTTTTTGAACAACTGAAACGGCTAGACTCTAAAAAGTAATTGCTCTCGAAGCTGCCACGGGTTGCAATGACAAGGTGGCATCCTGCTTCTACCAATAGAGCCGCAATGCTTTCCTGGCGCTCAAATTCTGGACGCTAACTGTCCTGGACATGAAACATGATGAAACCTGCAAAGGAGCTGGTTCCCCAGTCTTGTTCCCTATGGATCCCTATGGGACTGGGTCTAGACTGATTCTAAGATTATGAATTGAATAGAATGGATTCGAATCAATGGCTGCGTGTTGAGTCAAGAGTCAGAGGAGCATCCGTTGATAAACACGAAGGATAGCCCCTCAAGTTGCCTCAGTTCAGGGTCACAGCACACAGAGCCCATGACACCGTGCTCCACCTGCTAAGTAGATCCAAGTGGCTCTCCGTTTCCCAGCAGCTCCTCCAATTGTGGACGATAGAGGATATGCGCGCCCCCAAAATCATTCTCGAAAACAATACCGACATTGGACTCTGCATTCACAACCTTAGCATTTGAAAAGCGAATTGCGGAGGCTTTTAGGTCAGGTATGGTCAGGTGGAGATCTGAACCACAACCCCCGGTATCTCAACCGCATCTCCCTTGCATCACAAATACTCAGTGTACTAAGCCAATGGCATGAACCGACAAGTGGAGGATGATGCTTCCGGCTGACTGGGCAAGAGTAAGAAGCTGTGCGAAGCTTTTCGTCGTTGCAGCCCCGACCGAGATATTCCTCGAGTTCTCATTGCAGGAGTTGCTGTAAACCCATCAACAACTTGCTGTCACAGGCTGCAGGCCGCAAAATTGAACTCGAAACATACAAATCTGAGGGCTGGACATGCGACAATTTGCTTTTCTGAGCGAATCTTGCAAAAGGTCGACTTCCTCATTGCGAAACATGTGTGCGCTTGGTTGCTGAAACAATAGTCACAGTCACCTGTTTCAGCCGTGTGAAAACAGCAGAAAAGCACATGACATGACCAAAGCCATTCGCATCGCAAGATCTGACACCAAAGCTCCCTTAGCCAAGATACACCCTGAATATTGATCTGCGGTATGCGCTGGTCTAGTGGCGAAGCCTCGAGAAATCGGTTGAAGATTCTTCAAGGTGTTGAAATGATTGAAGTGTCATGGCAGATCATGGCAATAGGAAACATAATTATTGTTAAGGAAGGCAATGGCAGGTAGGCTGTTAAGAAATTTTCAAAGTACATCAAAGTACGCATGGCACAAGAAGAAACAGCAACACGAAGAGCTGCCGGCATGCGGCGGCCAAGTCACATAAAGTACATGAAGTTCTGGTTCTCGAGCACATCTCATTTCACCTGGAAATGCAGATTGATATCTCAACACATTTTTCTGTCCAAGACGTACACAAAGTATGAAAAAGTGGAGTGTCGCAGGATGTCAGAGACGAGGGCGTCAGGCTGCGAAAGTGCTGCGTTCCACTGAGCTTGCAACTTACATTTCTGGTGCCGGCAGATTGAATCACACCCTGATTCAAGTTTTGATGTGCAAAAACTCGACAAATCTTCAGATATCTTCAGATCAAAATCCAACAGGTCCGCCAGCTCCCCTCGAAAATGGGGAGTCCGCGCTCGCGCCTCTCGTTCCTTCGAGGGTGGAGAACGACTCCTCTCTTTCGGTCGACCTTCTAGGCATCGCCGCATGGAGTCAAATTGTTATCCTTAGCCGCTGAATGCTATGTCAGCATATGTCAGCTATGTCAATGATCCAAGATTATTCAAGATCTCAAACAGATTGAAACACCGCCTGTTTCACACACTGCTGTCAAGATTGAACATGATTCCTCGGCGTGAAATGTTTCGGTGTTTCTGAGTTGCAGCTGAGCTTCCTTGGCACATTCCCTTCCCAATTTTTGTGTTTTTTCGAGCTTTGAGATTTTTATGGGTTTTTGAGATTTTCGTCGCAGGAGGGCAAGATTCTAAGATTGACGTTGGTGTGCCGCTACTGTGCAAAGCAAACCAGGAAACAAAACCCTGATGCCACACATTGAAAATACCAATTCGCGGCACACCAAACGCGACTTTTGGAGTCTAGTACAGCTGGCCAGGCTTTTGCGGCCGCAGAGCGAGAACGGCTGCGGATGCGACACTCAGTGCGTCTCAATCATTCTCGATCAGTATCATCTATTGTGGATCACATGCGGTACATGGCATCTGTGAGCTTTGACAAGAATTTCATGTAATTATATTCCATGTGAGTTTGGTCATTTCACTTCAGATTCTGCGGTATCAGAATCGGTTCATGTTGTGCACTGCTCGGCATTGCGTTGCAGAAAAACTTCAGCCATCTTCAGCCAGATGGTGCTTTGAGATTCAGACAAAGGATGCCATGTGTTTGTACTCCAGGCCTAAATTCTCAGGCTGATTCTCGATCACAGATATCACAGGCTAAAGTGAGCACGCGCTAGGGGCCCGACGACACCATTCCCCCAGTCCCTCTTCCAAATGCTCTACCTTAAGAGGTGCTTCCACATTCATAGGAAATCAATGTTAAACTACTGATACAAGTCAAGTTGGATCTTAACCAACTAGAATACATTGGGATGTTGATGTCAACCACTTTGAAACCATGTTCTAAGTTCGATCATGAAAGTACGAACCTGAAAGTGCTGGCGACTTTGATGAAAAATGATGAAAATAACTAGCAGTCCTGAGCTGTTGGCTATGTACAGAGGCCCACCCTGGCGTCAAAAAACCCACTGGTCCCACCGGTCCCACCGAAGAAGATTAATCATCATTGGTTGGTATAAAGAGTACAAAAAGTGATATTTTGGCCGCAAGTGGTTCATAGTCTCATGCCACAGTAGGTCACAAAGGCCCAAAAATGACCTGCCTTTGATCTTCGCGCCATGCTGACAAACACAACAGGCGAAGCGTGGGGACGGCTTCAGTGAAACTGCGTGGTGTGCCGCACTACGCCAGAAACATAGCCTGAACTATGCCCTTCTCTTTTCTGTCTTTTGCCCTTGGATCCCTTGGCCATGTCATATATGTCATGTGTCTTCTTGCCATTAGCTTCAGCAACCAAAACTATCGGATCATGTACTGATGGTTGTCATGTCTGACGTCTCCATGACTCCATGGTGAAGCACATCTTTTGCACTGCAGCTGGAAGCTCTGCGCGCGTTCACATCGTGCAAAGAGGATGATTCGGAAGGGATACTCGAACAAAGTGCGAAAGAAACTTTGCCTGTGAAAAATAACCTTCCAAACCGGCTCTTGTCAGTGCAATTTGTGCCCAACATTCTGTCAGACAGCACTTGCATTGGCTAGAGGCATTTTGATATCGTGCAGCACAGGGGTGCATCTGAATTTCTGAGATGTCGGCGCAGTAAAGCGATGTTGCGCATTTTGAGATTTGGTGTCAACATGACCAACATGTGTAAGTCTTCAGAGGTTGTAATTTCTAAACGACATGCGCAACTCTCAACAGGGAACCATTGCAATCAGGGCGGCATCATAAGCTGTGGGGGCATCACACTGGCTTCCTGGCATCAGGAGCAGCACTACTGCCATGATGCATAGTATATAGATGATTATGATCAAACAATTACGTATAGTAATAGTAGATGAATGTAGATGATTCGAAACTGTTAGAAAATGATTCGCAAATGTTGAACATTAAACATTTGATGCAATATGATGCAATGTAAAGGATTACAACTGTTATACTACAATATCATCTGAGTCCATACCCCAATTCCTTGCCTCGCTCGACATAATGTGGATCCATCGGAGAGATATTGGCCCCTTGGCCCCCCCAAAAAAAGTGACGAGGGCGGATGTGCATGATCAAATGTGGGAACCCCAAAATCCTATGGTTTATATATCAAAGTTTATCAATGTTTATCAGAGTTTATCATTGTTCCTCAACCACCATTGGAATGACTATATATATATATATACCAATATATATATATATATACGTATATATATATATATATTACTATACTGTATTATAATATAATTAGTTGGCCTTTGTTGGGGTGTGTCCTTTGTTTTGAAACAAACACAAAAAAACGAAAATCAAGGGCAACAAAGCATAGGAGATAAACTGAGGCCATCGCACATTCTGGCATATCGTGGCACATCGCACATAGACGCATATCGAAAATAGCATTGGCCCTTGGTTGAGACAGTGCTGTGCAATCCAAAGGATTGGTTTAAGGAAAAATCCGTGGGAAACCACGATTTTTTCCAACGAAATGTGTGGTTTGCCAATCAATTGAGTAATGGTGTGTGGGGTTTCATCTTGTTTCATGTTCTCATTGCCTTAGCCTTGTCATGTTGGAACTTCCATATGGGTCTTTTGCAGCGTGGCTTTTGTATTGGAGTTGCGTGATCGCGCAAAGGAAGGCCTGCTTCAGCATGCTTTTGATATACGAAAGCCTTTTCAAGCGTGGAACAGAAATTTTGCCGGATCTCTGCGAGGTGGCACCTAGACTTCAAAAATTGAGCGCCAGACTTGCATAGTAAAAAGTCATGAGGTCATTGCTGAATTCGGAGTCAGATCGCCAGTGGATGATCATCATCCCCATAGAGAAGGCTCCACTTGGATTCCTGAACAGCTGATACAGAGGAAAACATCGTTGAAACCAAACTTGATCTGGTGTCTTGTAAACAAATCATCAATGTCCTCATCGTGGTTATGATTATGATTATGAATATTAAATTGTGTTTTATGATTTCATTAATAATTTATGATCGTTGTATCGGTGTATCATCGGTATCATCGTCATCATCATCACTCATTCTTGACTCACCAGCCACATGGATCCAAATGATCCACTGTCCTTGTAAGCTTCTGCTGAGGGGGATGGTTGAATGGGCGGAGTGTTGTTCACCTGCCCGCGCCAGGTGCAAGCACAAAGAAGATCTTCCACGTTGCAAGCGGCAGTGATGTGTTGGAATGATGCCTAGAGATATTAAGTTGTTATTAATCGAAGCTATGACTAATTGTAACATACTATAACATACTATCACATACTATAACATACTATTACATGCTATTACATACTATAACATACTACAACATACTATAACTATAACTCATTCCAAGGTACATACTATAACTATATAATATCTAAGGTTTAGAATCCCATTGCTTCCCATCCCCATCCACCCCGAAGCATCGAGTGCAGCCATTGCCTGGGTGATGAGAGCTTGATAGGCTCCCGTATCCCGGAAGGCCAAACCTCAAGGCCCCACGATTGGTGAAGTGCCGCAAAAATGCTGTGTGTCTACCAGCACAAAATAAAAGTGTTGCCCAAAAAAATGGGGAATGTACTACCCAAATGTTACACCTATTCCTGGATATGTACACTGTTAATTAATATGTTAGCCATACTGGATGTTAATTGGTGGTGACTGGTGGTGTCACTTTGGATTTCTGGGATTCCGCTTGGAGCTTCCTGAGCCTCATACACAGTGAGAGTCTTGGCCCCTGCGCCCACCTGCAACCATGAAACAGGTCCAGTAAGGATCAGCCAAAAAAAACAGCGAAGCGTGCTTTGATGCACTCAGCACGCCTCAAGTCAGTGCAAAAGCCCGTGGTTTCCTCAGCAAATCAACAAACATCAACGGCTTTCCTCTGGTGGTTTAAATCCAAACATATATCATCATATATCTAGACCCTCCAAGTACTTGTACCTAGAAAAATAAATATATACGCTATACAAGTACGTATATTCTACTCATGATTCTTTTGGGACTTTTGCGAAAATGGTGCTGACTTCCCGGATCTCTCTGTGCAGTACAGCACTTCACCTGCTAAGTTGCTGACCCACCGTGGAAACCTTCCGCCCTCAGCCTGGGTTTGCTTGAGAATAGGAAGCTGCAACTGTCCCAAATGGATTTTAAAAAGTGACTTCGTTCATGATAGTCATAGTATATGATAATATATGGTTTATAGTTTATAGTCACAATATGTCATATATGTCATAATAATTCTTCCATCTCTGAAAAATGAATATCATGAGTTCCTGTTTACTGAAATCAACAATTCTATCATCTTGTCTGCCTTGACTCCAACGGACTTGACTCGGTTCCCTGCATCTTCGTTTCCTCCATTTTTCCATTGCCGGAAGAAGGCCAGTTGGCCACCTGAGTGCTGAAGCGGACCAGTCACTGGGCAACGCGGCAAGGTAAGACGGCAGCAGACTAGGCCCCCGAGCCCTGCAAGTACAAACCCATGGCGCCCTGGTGTGCAGATGTGTAGATTGAACACCATGAAGCTTGAAGATGAAGGAGAGGCTTCTGTTGCTGCTGGTGGTCACAACTCGTTATAACATGTTATAACGTCTTATTCCAATCAAGTGACCAAGTTTCCCAGAAAAAAAAACAATGACAACAGCCAGAACAATTCACTGGCGCTCCAAAAGTCGCATCGAAAGAGGTTCGGGAATTTCCCCGGGGAGAGCCTCGAAACGACGGCCTTGTGGTGCTGGTGGAAGCAGGTGAATGTACCTACAATGCAACGGGTCTGGTCGGATCTTCCTGGCCATCTTAATCCCTTGCGATTTCCAACCTCGGTCCTGGGTGCAAGACTGGTTCCATGTTTGAAATGAATAGCAGTATAGTATAGTATAATCGTATATCACGATATATATATAATATATAATATATAATATATATTTATATTTATATATCGTGATTATCGTCCATTAATGCAATTATCAAAAGATTGTAGTAGCCTCTCTGCCCTTCATTTCAGTGTTCCCTTTTCCCAACCTGATAAGTTCATCAGGTTCTCTCAAAGTTCAACATATGCAGCTACACTTTGGTTCCTGACTTCTGGCTCTGGAGATGCTTCAATTTGTGAAGTGCTGTGAGCATCTTGAGGCGGCTTAGTAGGTTATATTGGGTATAGAACATGTCAAGTCCTGGAGTTATGGGTTGTTTATGCTTCTCTAAACAAGCCATTAATTATTGCCAACCTCTTTGCTCAGAACCGGACATGCGAGGG